TTTTACTTGCTCAGAAATGGGAAAGGATCTGTAGTGTCAGAAACTCGCAAGTGTAATTAGAGACTATGGCTCAAGCGCCAGTTTTGTGTTGATAAGTAGTATCACCTGGGGTAGTCAGAAATACTGCAGGACCTCTGTTACTGACCGTCCCATCTCATGAACCATCTGTATAAGCGTATACAAAGTCCTCTTCGGGATACTGTTCAACGGTCCTGATCCCTTTAATTAATCAACCACTTTAATGATATCAACCAATTCCTTTTCATTGCAGGGCTCTAGTGTACTAGAGCCCTGCAATGAATACTGTTTTAGAGTTTATAGGATTACATTGATCAATAGTTCTTATGATAATCAGCAGAGAAATGCTCATCACTTCATGAATTAACATCAGAAGCTTTTCTAAAATGATATTTTATTTTTAGTTGCAAATGCGCAAATGGAAACATAGCCTTCTTCAATTTGGGTACAGCCCCTAAATATGGTATTTTACTTTAAATTGAAATATCTCGAGAAAGTTTTTTTTTTTTTTTTTTTTTTTTTTTTTTTGAGGGGGGTATGACAAACGCATTTTTTGCTTTCCTTTTTCTATAACGAAAATAAAATTTTCTGAGCATAAATACAGGAAACAGGATGAACATATGAAATTAAATTTCGTATGCTTATAAAATTGTTTTTTTTTCATTTAAAAACACCAAAATCTAAACATTTGCAACATTTAAAACACTTCTGTAAGTAAAAGTACGGTGTATGTCTACGATTAACAATAGTGAAAATACAGGCTGAACACAGTGTATACTACTGAACATATATTTATATATACGTTTAAAAAAATTATGTTAAAATTGTAGAAAAAGTAAAATCCGATTACTTATTAAATTAACATAAATGCATCAATTCATAAAAACTTATTAATCTTCTTCAATGTAAGTACTAAACTAGATCTCTCTGTTATTTATAAAACTTTTTCATTTGTAACCAAACCATTAATCAACCACTTTAATGTAAGGCATTAAACTCCATATTTAAGGCATTCCATATTTAACGCATTAAAACATTATATAATTTAAGGCATTAAACTTGGAATAGATGTTAATCCGTCGCGTATATTAAAGTTTTTGCCTCTCGGATTTGTAAGATTCAGTTTCATTTGTAACCAAGCCAATGTATTATTTTTACGAGATTTAACTTGAGGTAAATATTGGCCTCTGGCGGTATTAATGTCTCACAAAACCAAGCAAGTGCTTATACGCTCTTAGATAAGAAAAACGACACACGAAGAAGGAGTTGTCCGAATAGGACGGAAATCGGTAGAAGTGATGTACATGTACAGAAAAACAAATGATTACAGCTTGAGAAAAATTGGATGACTTATTGAAGTGATAGAGCTTCACAAAGTGAAAAAGTCAGTAACGCGTTTGTCCCCCTCTGACTTTTAGGTGTGTGTGTGTGTGTGATTATGGCAAAGCCTCGAGGGATATCCGCCTAAGGGGAGGGATGCCTTCGTGGAGGACTTTCTGGGAAACTGGCTCGTATACACGTTACACATGGGGAAAACCACGAAAACACCCATGCAGTCAGCCCGTTCGCGGGATTCGAACCTCGGACCGAACTACCAGTGTTCAGCGACTTTACCGCTCGGCCGCTGGTGGTCCCCTGGCTTTTAGCAAAGCAGTTATTCGGCTTGGCATCGGTTAATAGAGGTTGCGGATGTCCTCCTGAGGGATATCGTGCCCAAATTCTGTCCAACTGGCGCGTTAGATCGTCAACATCCCGAGCAGGTTGGTGGGCCCTGACCATATTGCTCCAAACGTGCACTAAGGCGAGCAGTAGAAACATGTGCAGTGTGGGGGGGCAGGCATTAACTTGCTGAAATGTAAGCCCAGGGTGACGTGACATGAAGGGCAGCACAACGGGCCTTAGAACTTCGTCGACGTACCGCTGTGCTGTAAGGTTGCGACGGATGATAACCAAAGGGAACCTACTATGAAATGAAATGGCACCCCAGATCATCACTCTTAGTTGTCGGCCGGAGTGATGACCTAAGAGTGAGTGTAGGTTAATAAGCTGTACATACACATAGATGTGTCAAAAAATATTTTTTAAATATCTGATGTGGACACCACGTGACTTCCTTGCCTGGCCTATTGAATTATATGCATTTTTTACTGCCATTCATTTAAACTCATTTCTTCGAATTTCTTTAGAGATATATTTCTTATTTAATCAATTCATTTATCACTCCGCGATAAGTTAAAAATATATAAAAATTAAGCATTGTAAAATACAAAAAAAAAAAAAAAAAAAAACTAAAACACCGAATACAGTTCACTAAAGTTTAAAAACAATTCCAATTTAAATCAGATTTTCTACGTTAACAGAAGCATTTCGATCAATGGGCGTAAAGAAAAACTTTCCGTTCATGAAACTTCCACTCCCGCTTGCAAAAAAAAAAAAAAAAAAAAAAAAAAAAAAAAAAAAACTATTCTATACACTAAATGACTTAATTCACTATTTTACTAAGAGTTTCAAATGTAAACAAAAGGTACCCTTGTTAGGCCTAACACCACTTTTAAATTATTAATAATTTCCCGACTATCGCGTGCAGATTAACTGCAGGCATAAAAACCTTAACCGGAACAAAAGAACAACAAAATTCAATCACTTTTAAAGCCACAAATACACAATTTAAAAATATATAAAAATTTAAAAATTGTTCATGAAGTCGGGTAAGACGATGAGAATATATGCTTTTGCCCGACCGATTGCAGTAAGAATCGGAGATGCGTTACTACATTTTACATAGTCTCGCACACAAAATTTTCAATGTTCTACAACTAATTGTTTTTGAGTTACGCAAGGTACATCTCGCATACGTACAAATGACACGAAAACTTTTTTTCTGAATCTATTTTATATTCATTTTACGATCCATTTGGGGGGGAATAGTCCTTTGTTCTAACTTCACGTGCTGACTTTATGCAAAAAAGGTCATCCAATTGGATTCAAAAACAATTAAAATTGATATTGCCATTGAAATATGATACCCGAAATATTTCACCATTGCAATACTTTACTTCGTACAAAGAAGTAAAAATATTTATGTATATGTATGTAATAATAAAATTCCATAGTCAAGAATACACTTAAAATTCTAACTGTATGTTCTTCTCATTTTTAATGGCGACGTTCTCTTATTTGAAAGTACGTGGAATTAAATCCACAGCCCCGTAGTCAAATTGTTTTTCCCGCCTTTTCTACACGTACAGTTTTAGAATGTTCTGGAAATATTTAAAGCGAACTGAATTGGCTGACGAGGCTGACGTCATTTCTTGGAAGCTCCGCCTTTCCAGAGGCTATAAAAGAACTCGCAAAAGGAATATCGGGGCTTTTTCTTAAATGTCACGATGCAGTAAACTTCATACAAAAAGTTATTAGTAATTCTTTTTATTTACTCCGGATATCTGATTTTTTGTAACTATTTCTCCTGAATAATAATAAATGGATCCTGTTTTTTAAACTTCTAATTATTTAAACTACGTCTAATTATTCAAGTCTAATTATTTAATACGTCTAATTATTTAATTATTTAATATGTCTAATTATTTTATTAATATGTCTATTATTTAATAGTCTAATTATTTAATATGTCTAATTATTAATACGTCTAATTATTTAAGCTACGACTAAAGCTGATACATCACAAGGATATATCGTACATATAGTTCTTATTCTTGAGATTGACCGTAGCTGAGTATTGACTAGATACCACCATTCAGATTATTTTACTCTGATGTTCATGTAGTTTATTTACAAAGTTGTTCAACTATAACTCAATGAAAGTATGGCATATAATATGGTGAAACTATGACATATGTGTGAATTTACGGCCCTTCGCTTAATAGCTTATAACAGAAAATAAACTCTTATAAAATTTTGATTTAGAGAAAGCTACTATCTTCTGTAAAATAGAGTTATTTCCAACAGAAAGCTTAATTCTTATCTACGTCTTTCGTAAAAATAAATTTCTTATTCTCTTTGCAAACATTCTTTAGACAAGCGGCAATTTTTCTCTGCAAAAGAATGGTTTTCTGTAATGTTACTTTCTTTCTCCTCCCCCCCCCCCACTGAAAGAATTTTCTTTCTAAAAATACAATTTCCTACTGTCAATAAAAATAAAATAAAATAAAAAGAAGAAAAATACAGTTCTTTTTTTTTTTTTTCGATAAAAAAGTTTATACAGGCGGACCCGATTCTAAATGATTCATTTTATAGGCTCTATTCATTTATAACCAGAATTCGTACAAGGTCAAACTTTAATGGTTCGTCACTTTCAGGATTGATTAAAAAGTGACGTATTACGACGGGAACTTTTAGAGCTGAGGGGAAAAAAAATTTAAATTGACTTTCAAGACCTTTTTTAGTGAGCTCAAAATTTAATTCAGAGAAAGGGAAAAAAAATAATTGAACTTTTTATTTTTTTAAAACATTGATGTCGGTTTGATTTCGATTCCACGTCAAAATGACACAGTTATCCAGAATTTAAAGACTAATTTCACAGAAGATTAACGATAAATGTTAGCTAAAATTCTCAAAACTTTTTTAAAGAAGTACTTTTCATAAAAGATAAATAAATAATTTGAGGGTGATATATAAGTATATACACATCGTATGTATTCACTTTTTAAGCTTTTTAAGAATCATCTATTTTTTCCACGAAGTTGTTTCTTGCCTTTTACTTACATAATTTATTTACTGAAATTTTTTAAAAATGGCTTCTGAAGCTTCGCCATGGATTACATCTTCGGTGGTTATAAATATTCGATTTTTCCCTGGGTAATACTTTACTTTCCCGGTTTATAATAACAGCCTTAGCAGTAGGCTTCATTCTAGCACATATCCTAGTTTATAAAGAAGCAATATTGTATAAAACATACACTACATTCTCCATTTTCCAAAACGTGAGTTCTTATAGCTACTGTTATGGTAAAAACTGCTTTTACCTATTACTTCACTTCTGAGCTTAGCTGCCAGAGATTTCCTGAAGGCTAATGTCTGAGGGTCGACGTCAGTACTTTCTTCGCGTAATATCTTTCGTGCAGCTCGTGCAGATTTGGGTCTGGCTTGGGCAATCACTTCTTCGTTCTGGGACAGTCTGCGAGCACGTTCTTGGCGTTTCATGGCTAAAATTCTATCTCTTTGTTGACGTAAATAGTTCTGTCGACGTTCTAGTTCCAAAGGAGATACCGCTGCCTAGAATTATAACATAATTTCTAAGATCTGTGATTCTGGCAATAATGTTCGAAAATCAAATAAGAAAATAACTACTGTACGAGAACTTACAGAATTAAAAATAGTCTTTAGGAGGGAAAATAAAATTCGAAAATTGAAATTTACTTTTTTTTTTTTTTTTTTTTTTTTTTTTTTTTTTTTAATGTCAACCAGTACACATTTACAAGTAAGGAAATTATTGTTTTCGGTCCAAAAATTTGATAGTAAGTTTTCAGTGAAGTAGGATCTTCAAAATATATTTTTACTATCTTTACAATGATGTCTGTATGCCCGTCTGTCAGTGTGTATATCTGTGAACGTTTTTTTTTCGTCCACGATAGCTCTTATACGAAATTTCCAAAATTTTCTGTTTTCCGTATTTAAGCTTTTTTGGGTATTTAAGCATTCATACACTAAAAAGGATCCGAACAAGCAAAAGTATCCGCACAACCCCTAAAGAAGTGGATTTGACAGGTGACAACTGAAAGCTATAAAAGTGTTGGTAGTGATTTGTCAGTTCCATACGTGACCTCTCATTCGGACTTAAGCTGTGTTTCGGCACTGAATTTCAATTACCGTATATACCCACGTATAAGTCGAGATATTTTGGACAAAAAAAAGACTTCAAAGTGGGGGGTCGACTTATACGCGGGGCCATAAAAAATTAAAAGAATCGGAAGTTCAAAAATGCCTTTATATAATGCAGTTGGTTTCTTCCCGCACTCAAATTGGACGACTTATCAAATAAGTCACTTGCTTGAAGTAATTTCATGACTTAAATTATGTGACGAACAAATCACAGAGTTTCATACTTTAACTAGAGTAAGTTTCGATGAAACCAAAGAATTTTCGGCTCCCGAACAACCGATCAATATCGAGCAATAAAAGTTTCGCCAACACGCCAAGAAAAGAGAAATGCAGATAGTTTTTACGTACGTATAAGTCTTTATAATAGTTATTGTTCATTCATGAAATACTTTTGTTAACAGGCGTATACGTCAAAATTAAAAAAAAAAAATAGCCCACGCAATAACTGAACAGTTTTGAATAATTCTTTTAACTTTTAAAAAGGGAAAATGCAGATAGATTTTACGTACGATGAATTCTTTTCCGGAACAAATTCTAGAAGGTTACTATATACGATCATTTTTCCGCAATTATCCTGCGTTTTGGATATGTTGGGAACGCTTTTGCCTGCTGGATGCTGATTGGTTGTTCGGGACAGAAAACTTTTCGGTTTAACTTTCAGATTCGACGGATTCTTTGCTAGAATCACGTGCCGCGACGACAGAAGAGTTCTATGAAATGTTTGGCGAATATGACCATTGAATCGGACGTTGAAGGATTTTGATTTTGTTTATTTACCAAAGTATTTTTTATCGTATATTTACTTTTTTTTTTCTCAGATGATTTTGAATAAATGTAGTACTTAAAAAACATTTTTCGAAGTTTCTCGATCGATTTCGGAAGTGGGGGGTCCACTTATACGCGGGTTTCTTATTTTCTACGAATTTTTTATGTCGAAGTAGGGGGGTCGACTTATACGCGGGTATGTACGGTATTATTGTATATATGTGAATAGCAGGAGTGCTGCAACTCAACTCGAGTATCTCGCGTGAGACGAAAGATGGAAGCGAAGGAGAACAGCTATGCTTTCGACTAAGATGTAATGATTTTATCAACGAAGATGTAACCTTTCAATCATCATTATTTTTTTCATTTGTAAATAGTTACTAATTTAGCTCCGGCAATACCTGAATAGAATAATTTAGTCACCTAGATGTGTGTCGTCAGCTTAGAAATCCTCTAGACGTTGAGTTTACATATATGTATATAATCTATATTTAATCAAGAAATCTCTTGCCATTAATATTTATTTTATGATTACTAATATGCAAACTCTCCACCTCACGATGACTCAAACCTATAGTGACATTGTAGTCACTCTCTTTCCATCTTAAAATCCTGTCCTCTGGACTTGTTCAACGATGTTTTTTACTTTCACGGAACACCTAGATTACAGCAACTGGCAAAAAGCCTGCAATCCATGTAGGTTATGCCCAGTATATAGAGAAAAATGGAATGGGATAGAACTCAGTTTACTAAGAAGTCTCATGGAACAGCAATCAAGCTCTCTGTTTTCTTCGCGTCTTTGACACGAAACGACGACAGAAGAAGCATTTATAAAAGTAAACCATTCTTTCAACATGAAAGGTTACTATCAGATGATTTCGTTCTAATGCAAACACGATGATATGCTTACTTCGCCAGCGTTTTGTGCACTGTCAGCTCTTTTGTAATAACTCTCGGAGGTGTATGAAATGTGGCAAAGACCATCTTACCCACACCTGTAATTTACGCAATGAAGATAAACCGACCTGTTTTATACGTAAACAGAGTTATGTTTCTTCTTATAAAGGTTCTGATTTTTATCCTAAAATTTGCCCAAGAAACTTTGAAGCTAAATCAACAGCAGTGTTGGCTCAAAATTCTGCTAAGAAGGCTCCTGAGACGATGGACTCTAACCCTGTGAAAGAATTATTTTCTGGAACTGGATTTTTCAGTAGATTACTGAACTTTTTAAGAAGAGGAAGTTGCAAGAAGAAAAATTACAGCTTGCACTGTATTTTATTAATATGCTTGAAAATCTGAGATTCTCTTTTCAGGTTTTTCAGAACGATGAATGGACTAATTCTCCCAGGGCATGATAGATGGCGCCACTTATCGAGCTACGTTTCTATAGCTTCACGATCGACTTTTTCTCTCATGCCAGTTATATTTTAATTCCCCTTTCTTCAACATCATGGTATATATTTTCTACTAATGAATTTTTCCACTTTCAGTGCTGTAGAGCACTCTACTTCATGATAACCGGCAAAAAGCTTGCTAAAATTGCAAGCTAGGCGCGGTATACAGTGGAAACTGGAATTGGAATTGTCAGGTCCAGGCGGTTTAGTGGTTCCGACTGGTATACCAAGGGACCCGGGTTCAAATCCAGGAGAAGGTAATGGTGGTAAACGTCCGTCCCTTCATAGGAGGCAAAGGTGACCTACCTGTTAGGTGGCTCCATAATAAGATGACCACCACTTCTGCTTTTAATTGTGGTCCAGCCGAAGTCAGCTAAATGGGCCATTGGAAAGACATCGCAACTCCCCGTGAGTAAAAATCACTCAAAAGTGCAGTGCTCAAAAGTTCTCATCTCTAGAGCATTATCCACATCTTTGGAACGATTTAGAATGCAGACTACGTAGCCAGCCAGCTAAGTCGCCCATTTAATGGAAACAGCTGTTTCGATTTTGGGTGAAACTGAAGTATCGACTGTTGTACTTAAGCCGACAATACTTGCAACAACCGGCAGTGGTACTTAAGGCCCATAACAGTTTTTAATAAAGTTTTCAATTTTAATATTTAAGACTTTTGGAGAAAACCTATTAGATTGCTGAATGTTGTACATCTCGCCAACCTATATCTATAGGTAATGGAGATAATGTTTTCTAGTAATGGAGATAATGTTTTGTAGTGAATTCTCAGTCAATAAGCACGAATTAGAGTCCCCAAAACGTAATTTTACTATTTTTACAATGATTTCTGTCTGCGTGTATGCATGCAACGATCTTTTCATCTATCATTGCTCTTACATCAAACGTCTAAAAAAAAAAATTTTTTTTTTTTTTTTTTTTTTTTTTTTTTTTTTTTTTTTTTTGATTTAAGCTTTCTAAATTCATAAAAAAGAGCAAATTAAGTTCCGGTAAAATTAGACAACCGGAAGTAAAATTTTACTTGAAGCCCATAGCAGTTTTCAGTAAAAAAACTATATGAAATATAGTCAATTCGTTTCGGACCGCGATGTTTTCATACTGCGACCTACAAAAACATGTGCTACTAAATAAGAATTCCCTTCAAAAAAAAAAATTTTTACCTGCGCTTGGACGTACACTGTAGAATCGCCTTCTGACCAAGGTCGATCATCGTATGTCTTCAATGGCGGTAGTGTCTTAGGTGGGTTAGGATCACCAGATGGAAGATTATCAGAAGCAGATAATTTTGAATTTGCTAAAAAACTATTGGTGTCTTCCGGATTTCCAATGTTACTTTCTTCTGTAGGTTTCTCCGAGTTTTCTTCCGTTTGAGTAGGACTTGAAGGATCTTCAGAATTAATTTCCTCCTCGGGTTCTTCTTTTGAGTCTTCATGTTTTCCATTTTCTATAACTGGTTTATTTTCAGTGATAGTTTCAACTGATTTTAATGGCGATTCAGAATTTTTTTCTTGCACCGATTCTTTCACAGCTTGTTTCATTGCCTGGTTCATGAAAAAGAGTGAAAAAGTTTATTGGTATTACTTGTTATATATACATGAAGACTAAATAAAGAACCAAAATACATTTGCGTTTATTGTTGTATTAGCTCGTGCAGTGCAGCCAAAGTTCCCTTTTTAATTCATTGTTACCTTGACATATGCCATTTCTGGATGACACTGCATTTTGCTTGGCAGAATTTTGCAGCGACGGACGCCGTAAAAGAAATCCCAAGCCCGCAAAAGAATGGAAGTTTTACCAGAAACAAAAACAGAGGAGTTGTCAAGACATTAGGCTGTTATTTTGAAGCAGGAGTACACGAAAATTTAGCAGTGCCCTCACCGGATCTCGAACTGGACCTCTCGGATACGCGCCGAGTGTGCTAACATCACGAAGGCATGCTAAAAGGACTAAAAGGAGGGATAAAATGTATACTTCCCCTTTCAAAGGGCGACTGGGGATTAAGAGACCCAATCGCCAAATCCTTTTGGTGAAGAATCATCATTCACCGCCTTTCAGTTCGGGCGCCACTGTAGAGTCATTAGGTTACTTTGAAACAGAGACATAAAAAATTAGCAATGCCCTCTCCAGGACTCGAACCTCGAATACGCGCCTAGTGTGCTATCCGTTACACCATGAAGGCATGCAGAAAGCAGAGGGCAGAATTGGTACTTACCTGTAGAGGTTCGACTAATAAAAACTCAAGATATGTATATTTCAATTTAATCACAGAACATGACGATATAAAAGACGCGTGCTGCAACTCGGAATTTTATCTTTTGCATTTAATAAACAAATTCAGCTATTTAAAAGAAATGTGTTGTCTCTGCCTAATTTAAAATACTTTTATCTTCCACGGGGCAATGTTTTGTCGTTCAGAAAATCGCAAGATATTAATTTATCTATAAAATTTATCCTGTTATTAATTAACAAACTAAGCGATTTATAAGCAACAAGCACACACTCATTTCAGTTATTATTATTTACTAATTGGGTTCATGAAATGACACTAAATACATTCATTAAAATCATTTAAAAAGAGTGTCCGTTTTTGTTTTTTCTGTGAGTGTAATGCTCCAAATCTGCAGTTTTATGCCATCTCGAAGAAAGTTTGCACATTTGACCTTCAGAACAAGAGAAAGCTCACTAACTACATTAGGTTTCAAAGAAAAAAAACCACTCCACAGAGGTTATACTCCAGGTGTTTATATTAGAAGGTTGTGCTTTTGTCATTTATGTCTGGTTCACGTCGCTAATATTTAAAATTTTTAATCATTTGCTAGTATTGAAACAAGCTAAGCAAGGAACTTATATTTGTTTACAAAAAATAAATATTAATATTTCTACACAATCTCAATTTTGAAATCACGTCGCCGTTGTTGCATTCTCGCTATCAGCTCTTAATAAAACCGTTAAATGACGCTGTGTTCGTTTCTCTTTAAAACATTGTAGAACTTTCCATACCATTGTAAAACACTTAAAGCAGAATTATGTGTTTCTCAAATTTATTTGTTTATCTAATTTATTCGAATTTAAGTGTCATCTCTCTATCCGTTTTATAGAATATTTTGAAAACGGTGAAGAAATCAGTCAAAATAGATAGATATCCCCCCCAGAAAGATTGTCGTTTTGGAAAAGGAACAAAACTGATAAAATACAGTTTCTTAATAAAACCATCATATGGCGCTGTGTTACTTCTACAGTGTTCTACAGTTTCATTTCAGCTTTGTAAAAGTTTGCACAATTCGCCTTGAATCAAAATATGAGGAAATCACTGCCCGCTTGAGATTTCGAAAAACCTACTCCCATCCCCCTCAATGAAGCCTTTTCACACCATGCGTTGAGCCAGTAATTCCGCTAGTTCACATGCATATATATATATACAATCTTAGACAAAAAAAAAAAAAAAAAAAAAAAAAAAAAAAAACGACGCACCGAGAAGATATAAAGCAAATTGGACACAAACTGATATGCATACAGGTTTCGACGGAAAATACAAAATTTTACATTATGGCTGCCAATGAATGAACGGTTGTCGCCACAGCGCATTTGATCTGCGCAACTGGCAGGTTATTTAAGAGGAGAAATTACGATTCCAGGTCATAAATTCTTCACAAATTTCATTCCGTGTACTCTGGTAGACAGTAACTATGCCTCGCATACAGGTGCCCGAACAATATGCGCAGATTTCAGAATTTGAGAGAGGTCGTGTAGTTGGCTTCAAAGAAACCGGTTGGTCTTATAGGCGAATAGCTCAACATTTGAGCAGGAGCGATGTCACTATTAGACGATGTTGGCAGGGATGGGTAAACCATGGCCGCATACAGCGTCAGGAAGGAAGCGGTAGGCCTAAGAGAAACGACAGAAAGTGAAGACCCAGCAATCGTCAGAGCGGCACTCACAGCCCTAGATGCATCATTATCATCGATTGTACGTGCAACTAGTGCTTCAGTGACCGCAAGGACCATTCATAGACGGCTCATAGAAAGGGGCCTGAGGTCACGGCACTCTTTGCGCCAACTGCCATTGAACTCTACAACGTCAAGCCCGTTTGCAGTGGTGTCGGGCTAATTCGCACTTGAATGTCACTGATTGGAGTAGAATAGTCTTCAGTGATGAGTTCCGCTTCGAACTGAGCCCCGATGACAGCGAAGGCGAGTCTGGAGACGCCTCGGACAGCGGTGTGATACGAACCTGACTGTCTTTCGGCAGACAGACCGACAACCAGGAGTGATGGTCTGAGGTGCCATTTCATTTGATAGTAGGACCCCTTTGGTTGTCATCAATCGCAACCTTACAGCACAGCGGCACGTCAATGAAGTTCTAAGGCCTGTTGTGTTGCCCTTCATGTCACGCCACCCTGGGTTTACATTTCAGCAAGATAATGCCCGTCTCCACACTGCACATGTTTCTACTGCTTGTCTTGGTGCTTGCCGAACATTACCTTGGCCAGCAAGGTTGCCGGATCTTTCTCCTATTGAGCACGTTTGGAGCATCATGCCAGGGCCCTCCAGCCAGCTCGGGATGTTGAGGATCTTCGCGCCAGTTGGACAGAATTTGGCACGATATCCCTCAGGAGAATATCCGCAACCTCTATCAATCGATGCCAAGCCGAATAACTGCTTGCATAAGGGCCAGAAGTGGACAAACGCGTTACTGACTTTTTCACTTTGTGAAGCTCTGTCACTTCAATAAATCATCCAATGTTTCTCAAACTGTAATCATTTGTTTTTCTGTACATGTACATTACTTCTACCGATTTTCGTCCCATTAGGATAAGTCCTTCTTGGTGCGTTGCTTTTTGTCTAAAAGTGTATATATATATGCACATAATATACATGTATTATATGCATGCAGGTTGATAAAAAATTACATGTCCATTACTTTGTATTATAAAGGGGAAAAAGTGGTATATATATTGGAAGAAAAACTTCATTTTTTAAAAAATTCACTTCAAATAAAAGTTTGAGATGATATCATTAGCGGAGACCTAACTCACTTAACATACAGCAACAAGTTGTAGGTTGAAGAATCGGCAGTTGCGTTTGCATTTGCCCCTGCTCACGTGATTAATCGTTGCTCAGAATGAGCATGAGATCGAGAGACTAAAGAAATATAATTTTAATGCAACATTATTTTCTTCGAAGTGGGAAAGTGTAGTGAGAAATATCCCCAAAAGAAAAGGACTGGCAGTAGTTTGACACAGCAATATTATTAAATGCTAGAAAAGTCTGAAATAACGAGCACTTTGATAATACTTTTATTAATTTATTATTAAATTTAATCCTTGGTATTGCAGCGTAGTTCTTCAGTTTGAAAATATTAGCTCATTTTTTCTAGCCAAAATTCAGCCCTCAATGCAATCAATCTGGCGGTCATAATGTTTGGCTTACCACGGAGTTTTTCAAATAATTAAGATTTATTTTTATGGCAATTAAAAACTTAATCACAAATAACTTAGAGCACATTTCAGTTCACAGTCAATGTTATAGAATATATTGTTCAGTCCTTTCGTTCCCAAATAACTATTTACGGCATTGTTCATTTCTCATGCACTCCTTCTTCAAAATAACCTAACGCTCTACAGTGGCGCCCGAGCTAAAAGATGCTGGATGATGATTCTTCACCACCAGGATTTGTCGCTTGGGTCCCCTAATCCCCAGGAGCCCTTCAAAAGGAGGAGTATGTAAGGTTATGTTTACACACTCGCAGCGTATTCGAGAGGTCCAAGGTGCGGGCCTGGCGAGGGTACTGTACATTTCCCATGTCTCCTGCTTCAAAAAACCTAATGTTTCTACTAAGGTAGCAGCGTAAATGAATTTAGAATTATATGTTCATAGTAAGATGCAATTCGATAGAAAAAAAACTGCATATTCTATTTTAATGCAATTATCGGAAAGCTCATAAATTAAATTTATTATATTAGAAGGGCTGATTTCTGAGTTTAAAAAAATTAATCTTTTATGTAAAGCACTGGATTTAAATTTAGAAAATTAAATAAATAAATATTTCTTAATCACATTAATTCCAGCGAAAATAGAATATAACATAAAGATATACAGTAATGAGATACATTCCGCAAGAGAAGAAGAGGAAGAATGACCCTGCTTGTTTGCATTAGCTATACATAAGTCACGTGATCTCTGAGATCATTTGCATTGTTTGTTTACAAAAGATATACGTAAGTCACGTGATCAATGAGGTCATCGGAATGTATTTCATTTAAACTTGTCTCCTGCCATCTTTCTAATAGGCAATCTTCACCATAAACACAAATCACAAATATGCATGCGTGATTTGAACCGATGTTCATTATCCATGCAGCTATTTGAAAGAAAACGTGATTTTTATTGCTCTGCTATGTTTTGAAAGTGCACGTAGCACCATAAAATACAAGTACTTTTTTGCAATCTCTAGATTGGGTCCCTATTCCCTATTTTTGCAACGCCTTTTGAAGATGAGAATATTTTCATGAGGGTTTGAGGACAGAAAATATGCAATTACATTAACTACGCGCAGCATTTAGCACATTTTATTAAATATAGCTATTATCTTGCAGTTTTCCATTAAACTTCGCCTTTCTTATGTGTTTAACAACCGTAAAAAACTTTATCGTGTAAGGTCCTTCCAGCATAGCTCCATGGCGTAAAAGTTGGCACACTCAGTGCGTATTCGAGAGGTCCGTGGTTCGAATCCCGGGGAAGGCATTGCTCATTTTTCATGTACACTTGCTTCAAAATAACCTAATATCTCTACAGTTGTGCCTGAATCATACAGAATTATCGCCCTTCTCCGATGTGTGCTCCCTTGTAGTGTAAGTGGTTAAAACATCCAGCTACAAATTAAAAGATCCGTGCTTTAAATCCCACGGAAATCCCAGCCGCTTTTTAATAATTCCTGCTCCAAAAATTCCCTAATATTTTGCTCAATAAATGTTGTATGAATTTCGCTTAATATCTTAGCACTTATCTTTCGAGCAACCGCAATTAAGACTGCACCTAATAATTGCTAATAGATACAAAAGAGTAGTTAAGAATTTCCAACAGGTACAAACATCTCAGAGTGTATTCAACTTAAATATAAGCTATTAATATTTTAGCATAACTAGTTACAGATGTTAGTTATTGAAACTGCAGGTATCGACTGATTTTGTAGATTTAAAAATTAATTCTTTGTAAATATTAAATAAAATTATATCATATAATTAAAATCCAAAATATTAATTGTTAAATTACTCTTTGGAAGGACTAGAAAGTAACAGAATAAAAAATTCCTTTTTTAACACATTCTTTGTATAAACATTAATTGTTAAGTTATTCTTATGGACAGGCTAAGTATAAGCAGAATAATAAAAACATTACTCAAGTAATTCCAATGTAAATAAACAAAACAAGATCAATTAATTTTCTAACAGGTATGGTAAAATTAATGTGATGCGTCTGTTTACATCTGCATACCTCAAACTTTTCGCCTTTCTTTCGAGTGGAAATAATAGCAATAATAATTTTATGCAAAAGAGGAGAGAATGTGAGAATCCAGCACCTGCTCTAAAAGTTCTTTCTCTTTTTGAGCTTCCAGTTTCATCTTTTCTTGCAAAGCAGCATCTGCCGGAGTCACTTTATTAGATTCAGCATCTGGGGACTCTTTGACATCCTCTATAGCTTTTCTGGAAAAAAAATCAATATACATATGTATATATATATATATAGAGAGAGAGAGAGAGAGCTTTGAAGTACGAGCGACAAAAGATAAAATATATACAGCAAATTTTACATTTATTTGCAATTGCTTAATGCAGAATTCGTTTTTAGTCCAATGGACTGAAGGACTATTGTTTTCTTTTTGCGATTTTGCGTTGAATCACTATAAATGTCCGTTTCACTTTTCAAACTGTTGCCACCAAATGTTAGAGTCCTGCATTATATTTGAATAAATTAAATAATAAAAAAATCTGCATAAATATATGTTTACTTCTCGCATTATGATGAAACAACAGTACATAGAGCCATCGAATTTTGAATGATGTAATCCTCCTACGAATATGGGCAGGTGGAAGACCAAAATTGAAATTTGGAATTTGTTTTATGGTCGATTTCATATTTTGTAAAACTTTATTTTTGAGTAACAAACTCAACGATTTAAAAGCGAGCAATGGTAATGTTACGGTGAAACACCGAAATCTGGAGAATGTCGACTTTCACCGGTGAATGTCAACATTCACATAGTCTCTCGGTATATGTCCGAAATATTTTCCAAATACTCTTATTTCTGACTTAACACCGGTCAATGTCGACATTTACCATGTACAAATGGCGAATGTTAAACATATAACAGTATTATATTTCTTCTCCGTAATTCAGTCGCGAATAAACGCACTTGAAACCCGAAATAAGAACTTACGAACATGAGAACCTAAAACAACAATACATTCAAAATGAGAAAGGAAAATAATAGAAGTTAAAAACTTACTTAATTTATACAGTACTTTCTAAATGAGAAAATAAAATAACAGTAATAAAAAACTTACTAAATTATGTGATTCAAATCTTATTTATTGCAACAACTTGAACTATTATGGCCCTTTTATGACCTCTCTTTTCGACTTTCGACGTACACCGGTGAGGGTCCTAATATACAAGAATGTAGTGAAATATTCGGTCTTTCACCGACGTATTTGGTGAATGTTGATATTCTCCGGTGAAAGTCGACATTCTCCAATTTCGGTCTTTCACGGTAACAGTAACACTCTACATGGGGGTGGAAACCTTTTTATCTCCAGCGCGCGGAACTGTGTATCGGAAATTCTAAAGATAGACTCATTTTAAAATTATTTTGCGGCATAGCTATTGAACTTAATTTTATGGTTTAAGTGCAAAGAACATGATATTTTAGTAAGTAAAGGTAACACACAAAACGTTAAAAAAACGCCCCTTTCGACGCAATTTAAAATCTGAAAAACTTACAGTTTTTTATTTATTTATTTATTATTCTGTACGAGAACCTTTATTACACTGATTAAAAGCATAGCATATGCTAAGTGAAATTTAAGTCGTTGAATCAGCTTGTAAAAAATTTTCTCCTTCCGCTTTCTATCCTTCCGTGGTGTGATTGGTACCACAAATGGTGGTGTGGTGTATTGAGAATACGGCAAAGCACAATAAGGCTATCTGCCTAAGGGAAGGGATGCCTTCGTGGAAGACTTTCTAAGGGAAACTGGCTCGTATACACGTTACATATGGGGAAAACCACGAAAACGCCCATGCAGCCAGCCCGTTCGCGGGATTCGAACCTCGGACCGAACTACCAGTGTTCAGCGATTTTACCGTTCGGCCGCTGGTGGGCCATGATACCACAAATGGCTAGCAATCGGAAGTTCCTGCTCTACAAAGTTTAAATTTTGGCAATGGCACAGATGATTTCTCATTCCGGCTAAAACTTTTAAAGGAAAATTTTAAGACTTGTGAAGAGAATTAATAAATTAATCTCAATCACACATTTTTTTAATACTGATAGATATTGAAATTACGTTGTAGAACTCATTACGGAAGTCTTAAAAGAAATAACTTTTGATCTTGGATTTATTCTGTGCTGAAATGCGAAAGACCACACAACGTTAGCTTAATGTGTTAGTGGCGCCCCAAATGGTAACATGTGGAACTTAAGAAATATCAACAAGAAACAACCACCATAGTGTAGAACTCTCACTCTATGCTATTAATATCTGTGCGCATCTGCCTGTTTGTTTGTTTGTTTGTAGCATCATCTTCTCCGAAACGGTGGGGCGTTGAATTTCGAAAGAGGTCCCCCGGATTCCAAAAATTCGTGGGAAGCCATTTCAACCATTCTCATCTTCGTACGATTTTCTTTAATGCAGGTATTAATTTAATTTTTTTTAAATCTTAAAGGTTTCAGATTTTAAATTACGCCCAAAGAAATTTTTTTTTTTTTTTTTTTTTTCTTTTTTTTTTTTTTTTTTTTTTTTTTTTTTTTTTTTTTTTTTTTTTTTTTTTACATTTTGCGTGTTACCTTTATTTATTAAACATCATGTTCTTCGCACTTAAATCATAAAATTCAGTTCAATAGCAATTAGTTCGTTAATCAAAAATTCATTGAAGTGTTACAAAATATGAAATCGATAATAAAAAAATTTTAAATTCAAATTAGGGCTTCCACATGCTCATATTCTTTGGAAGATTACGTTATTCAAATTTTGATGGCTCTAGGTACCGCTGTTTTATCACAATGCAAGAAACATACCTACATTCATGCAGATTTTTCACCATTTAATTTCTTTAAATATAATAATACAAGGCGATAATATTTGGTGGCAACAAGTTGAAAAGTAAAACAAGTCTTCGACGCAAAATGCCAAAAGGGAAATAATAGTCCTTCTGGATCAATTGACCCTTTGGATTAAAAACTCTGAAAACGCTCATTTTCGCCCTTATTTTTCTGAGTGGCAACTGTCTCGTACACTGAAGATAAAAATCTGCTTTTTTTCGAAGCTTTAAGTGTTGCCATTGCTAATTTTCAAATCTTAGAGTTTGTTAGTAAAATATTTCTAAGTTTTACGAAATATGATATAAAAATAGCATTGGCAAACTTTAAATATATTATTACCGATTTCAAAAATTCGTGGGCAGCCATTCGACTGTTCCCATCTTCTTACGGTGATATCCACTTCTAGCCGTCGATTTTGAGCCAGAAAGGAAAAAAGTGGATTAATCAGCAGAGATATACTAATTAAAACCCCTGAAAATACTAGTTTTCGCACTCGCGTTTACGAGTGGCAACAGTATCGCGCGCTGGAGATATAAATCTGCTTTATTTCGAAACGTGTTGCCACTGCTCGCTTTCAAATCGTAGAGTTTGTTAATCAAAAATTTGTAAGTTTTACAAAGCATGAAATAAAAACAGCTCTGCCAAACGTTAAATATATTTTTATTATTACATAAGGCCGTGTTCTGATGTTGAAGAAAACACGTGATTGCATGTGAAGCCTCTATATGTCGAAAATTGTTCTTTAATGTCAGCATTTTTAAATGAATAGCTGCTGTTGGCAACTTTTTTGTTTCAGGTCAGGATAACTGACACGATATTTTATTGCCACGTTAATTCTTTTATTGATATTGAGAAAAAGTTGCTGTATAACATTAAATTTATATCATGAGGTCATACGTATACATATCAACCTAAAGTGTCAAAAGGTTTGTTTCCTGGTTGGGCAAAAAAAAAAAACTTATTTGCGAATTGATTGTTGCTTGGAAAAAATGAACTGATTCCTTTCATATTCAAATGTTTTTTATACATTTGATTTTCAAGTGTACATACAATTTATAAATTTTGCTTTGGCTGCAGCCTGCTAGTTATAAATTAAAAGATGGGTATTTAATTAATAAATAAGATAAAATGGATTCGAAGATACGAGATTCACGATATGAGATAAAGTGGGATTTCGAAGAAAAAGGACATGTTTTATGTTCTTAAATAATATTGTTGCGTGCGTACGGGTTCGTTGTGAAATGAATGCACAAGTCCGATGAAAAATGAATAAAAATTTATTATTATCACAACAAAAATGCTTAAATTTTCTCAAATTATCATGCAGTATTACAATATCTCACAGTAGTTATCTTTTAACTACTGTCACTTTCAAATTTGTCTAACTTTCAAATGTACAATAGAACGTAATTTCAAAACAGCTAATGAACGCTAATCCGCGAATTCGCTATAATCAACAACGGCAGTTTTCTAAACAACAACAAACTAAGCAACTACTCTGAACTGAGATGTTTTCCTCCTTTTATAAGATTTTAAAAATCACGCGCTAGAATTTTCCAGTACTTTCTCGAAATCGAAAAGAGATATTTATTTATTTCATGCACGCGCTCTTGCATTTTCAATTTTCCGGCTTAGCTTTCTTTTAATATTCGTCACGCGCTGCACTGCGCGAGAAATAAAACCATTTACTTTATAATTGAACTAACATTAGCTTTTTAAATACCAAATTCGTAACACTGCCCCCTTCCCAAGGACTGCACGTCCCGGGCAGTACAATCCCTGGACAGGAAGCCAAACTTACAACTGTGACGTAAATGCATTAATAAGCATTACATTACAATAATAAACAACATGAACAATAAATGCAATAAATAAAACAAAGCAAATGCTATCAAATACAAAATACAAATCAAATACTAAAATACACATTTAGGAACAAAAAGGACCATGGTCTTACACTATTTACAATTATTTACATTACGTACTATGGCCATAGTAATGAGCTAACCTAACCTGTCGTAAAGAACGACTTTAGGATTAGAGTTCGAAGTCTTACGGATCCGAACTACGAGGTTATTCAGCCTGTTTAGGACTGTGTGGTGACCATCCCAAGGTGACTGTAATTTAGGCCTGAGTCCTTTTCGTTGAATCGGGTTTCACAACCACACCTTGTCTCCTTTGTTGGATCTATCTCCAGTAGCTCTCGTGTTGTATCTGGTCTTCACTTTCTCCGTCGCCAAGTTCATTCGCTTTCGTACGGAACGGTGCATCACTTCAAAACGGGCCTGGACATCTTGGATGTGTTCCTCAGGCGATGAAGGCGCATCCGTATGGGGATCAAACAGGCGGTCACAAGGCAGACGAAGGCCTCGGCCGAAGAGCAACTGGGGATGGAGAATAGCTGGTAGTCTTGCGTTTCTTTTCAACCCTAGTATGATTTTGGCAGCTTCCCGAGCTGGATCTTTCGGACAAGGCGATGACATTTCCAGGCGAGGATCCCTTTTGAGGATGGATAGTCATGCCATCAGATGCTGAAAGCAGTTTGTTGTTTTTCAAGTCTAAGGAAAAATTGTATTTCCTTAAAAAGTCCAATCCGAGTATGCATGGATCTGTGATATCCGCCACATAAGCCGTGTGATGGTAGGCGGCACTTCCAAACGTGATGCTTACGTTTAACTTCCCAGTTATGTCGATCTTATCACCAGACGCAGTCTGAAGGGTAACACAGGATGGCGTCCAAATAAGTTTATCTTTAAACTGTTCAGCTAAATCTTTCCTAATGATGGTAACATTAGCTCCTGTGTCAATGATCATATTGCAAGGAACTCCATCGATATTCCCATTGATGGACAGTCCGTTACTGTTGCCACTCACTGTATAAATTTTTAAGCGCTTTAAAACAAGGTTTTTCATTATCTGGCAACCTCCGTTCCTTCGATATGGTCATTAATTTGTTTCCTGCGTCGTTGCTGGGAAATGGTCTTATTTTCCGTACCTCGGGGTGTTCTGCAGTTTTTCTTCGTATGTGGCCTTCAACTCCGCAGTTCCAGCACTTTAGAATTAGTTTCTTTTCACCTTCTGTTCCGTCTCAAGCCATTGACTTGTCTGGTAAAATCATCTGCTTTATATTCCGTGCCCTGGGGATGTTCTGCAATTCCGTCTTAGGTGACCTTCACTACCACATCTCCAACACCTTAGAGCCACTTTTCTTCTCTCTCTACTCTCCTACTCCGTATCAAAGCGTCGACTTGTCTGGCTAAATCATCTAAACGAGCCATCATTGATCCACTGGGCTCATGGACTCGCACAGCTCTAACTGGGTAACGATCTCTACTAGTTGCTTGCTGGGCTGTCTCGAACTTCATGGCATACAACAGAGCACTTTTTAGATCTTTAACATCCGCCATTCGCAGTGCTTTCTGTATTTCAGGGTCCCGGATGCCATCGATGAAATATTGCAGCGACAGGATTTCCCTCGTTTCTCTCGGGCACTCCGTAAAGGCGAGGTGGGACAGCCTTTCAACATCCGTGGCGAGTTCCTGGAGTGATTCGGTGGGCTTCTGTTGACGAGATTATAATTGAAGCCTGCTGTAGTCTTTTAAACATTTCTCGCCGAAGTGCAGCTCCAAAGCGCCGGATATATAGAGCTTCGAAATCTAGCCTTTAATTTTCGGGAAGCGTCTGCAGGATATCCGCTGCGTCTGCTCTCAGAGAAGCGGCGAGATGACAGGCCTTAGCTTGGGAATCCCATCCATTCGCATCCGCAACGATAGAAAATTGTGTCCTATACACCTGCCAGGAGGTCTTCCCATCATATGTAGATAGTTTCAGAACGGAACGAGCAGGCATCGATAAAAATTTGAAACCTTCAGAATTGTTTCCTGCCGTCGCTATGCACTTCTTTAGGCTGTCAACTTCTTTGGCGACGGCAGCAGAAACCCTATCATCAATTTGTTGTTCGACGGCAGAAACTCTCTCTTCTATATGTTCTTTTACAGAAGAAATTCTTTCTTCTACTTGTTCTTTTACCGAAGAAACTCTTTCTTCTATTTGTCCAACTTTAGTTTCAACCGCGTCTATTCTGCCTTCCATAGCCTTAAATTTATTTTCTATTACGCAGGTAATTTCTCTTTTCATTTCGTCCTGACCTGCTTTCATCTCATCTTTAAGGGATCTCATCTCTTCCTTAACGGATTCCTGGCCCAATTTCATTTCTTCCTTAAATGCAGCAAAGGCTGATATCAGCTGTCTTAACTGCTCTTCCATCGCTCTTGTGATTGTCATTCGAACCCCACTCCTGACATCAAAAATTGTTGCGTGCGTACGGGTTCGTTATGAAGTGAATGCACAAGTCCGATGAAAAATGTTTAAAAATTTATTATTATCACTACAAAAATGCTTAAATTTTCTCAAATTATCATGCAGTATTACAATATCTCACAGTAGTTATCTTTTAACTACTGAAATGTACAATAGAACGTAATTCAAAACAGCTAATGAACGCTAATCCGCGAATTCGCTATAATCAACAACGGCAGTTTTCTAAACAACAACAAACTAAGCAACTACTCTGAACTGAGATGTTTTCCTCCTTTTATAAGATTTTAAAAATCACGCGCTAGAATTTTCCAGTACTTTCTCGAAATCAAAAAGAGATATTTATTTATTTAATGCACGCGCTCTTGTATTTTCAATTTTCCGGCTTAGCTTTCTTTTCATATTCGTCACGCGCTGCACTGCGCGAGAAATAAAACCATTTAATTTATAATTGAACTAACATTAGCTTTTTAAATACCAAATTCGTAACACTATACTCTTCTTTTGAGCCATTCACAGTTAAAACTTGTTCTACTCTTTTCTTAGAAATTTTATCCCAGGATGTCGGATAAGCAAAATGAAGAATATGTTTTTTTTATTTATTATTATTATTTATTTACTTCAAGCTGAATGAAAATTAAGATATTGTACTGTGATGTCATTCGACATTTTCAGAGAATCAATTAAAATACTCCATGCTTTTTTTGCTCATATTGAATTTTCTGCCCCGTTTAACGGATCTGAATTTTTATCTTCATATCAACAAACGCAAGTTAATGTTCTCATATAGATTTTTAATTCAATATCCAATTAAAGCTCCTTTTTTTTTCTACACTATGTTGTATATAATTAATCCAACTTGTTCTCTGAATTTGTGTAGTACATTCTTGTTGTACAATCATAGTGAGGAACATTTTCATAAAAACAACAAATACACTTGGTGGTCTATCATTCTGCTTCATGCCTGATTCACATTGCTGTTGTGTTGTCTCACTTGTCGACTCAGGCCAGACTCGAAGAATTTTGCAAGATTTGGGTACCCGCGTGTCATCGCTAACCCAAAATAATATGATGACGATTTTCGAATCCGTACATTGTTCGAAAGTGGGGTTGGAATAACTTTCGATCAATGCACGAATTCGAAAATCGTTATCGTGTTACTTTGAGTTAGCGATGACACGCGGGTACTGGCAGTAACATCAAAGTATTTTAAATCTATATCAGTAGCCAACGGTTTGCTTTTAATTCATTTTTTAGTGATTTCAGTTCCACGTAGTAACGATTTTATAGAATTTAAAATCGTAATTTAATGCTCGGATATGAGGAATTCATTTACAAATGCCTGATTCTGTGAAGCCTTGACACTCACATTACTCTCATTAGCCTAATGGTATATAAAGCTTATAACGTTCCTGAACGAAATTTAGTTGGCAATTATCTCTACTAACATAGCAATAAGGAGAGATAAGCAGTAACTAAGCATTTACTGATACCTTCTTGTGGTGATGCAAGAAAAAGCGTTTTACAACTTAAAATTCTAAGTGCTAGACAATGAGCAAAATTTAGAAGATATCATCTAAAAAGCATAACACTATGCAAAAACGCATCACAAATTCGAACTCTTGCGGAAGTGTTTAAAAATAAATTCTGATTTAAACTCTTACCGACTTTGTAATCTCTGCTTCCTAACTAAACTCGGCAGAAAATTTTAGGCTTTCGCGCTGATGCTGTATCATTGCGCTTGACAGATAATTTAGACGTAACATGAGAATAATAAGCAAGAGTTCTTCGCTCAGATTTACACTTAGTGCTAACTGATGTGAGTGCAATTTAGAAATTAAAGAAAGCTACCATAAATTGCGAGTTTGTCTAGGTTACATTCTATGTTTCCTTCCATGTTAAAAATAAACTGATTTTTTTCCCCTTTTATGATGATTTCTTATAAGCATGCTGTAAATATAAAAGCTTATTACTGGCAATTAAATTAAATACACTGATATAAAGGTAATAATAACGACGTAGTCCTAATATAAGTGTTAATATTTGGATTGGCAACAATTTATAGTTCATAGCTGTTTCGTAAAGAAGTTTCCTACATAGAAATTGGCCATTGACTTCTAAAAGGTCAATTTTCGTGTATGCAAATTTTACGTACAAAACAATACACCAAAATGCTAATCTGCATTCTTTTTAAAATCATTCTTAAATTTTATAAAAATGCGTTTATCGTCCTGTATTAAATTTCTTATTAAACTTAATCACATAGATCCTATTAAGTATCTGTATGCTTTTCTTCTCCTTATTTCTAAATGTATTATTTTTATATCCGGCGTATTACGCGTAACCGTTATACCCCGAAATATACGGTTCATCCATGTCTTTTAAGTGAATCGAACCCGAGCCCTTCGATGTTGCAGTCGGCTTCCCTAACTACTCTACCGTCTGGACGGCTTATTCTTATTAATAAGAATGAAAACACACTTACTTGATGATTTCGTCCATTGCTTTTTCGTCATCTTTCGCTGGGTTATTCGGCTCCATGCAGTTCGGAACTGATCCACGTTTCTGAGTCAAGAATTCAAGTGCCTGGAGTTGGAGTTCAAGATTCTTCTGAGTCATCATTCTTTTAAATATTTCAAAATCATCTGCAGCCCATACTTGTTGAAACAAGCTCTGAAGTAATAATGAAATAATATAAATATTATTCCTAAGAAAATAAACCATAGGGAATTATATCATCAACATTTCTCTGTGAACTTTCTTCGGAAAACTACACCTTGCTTGTACTCGAATACCGGATTTTCCGATTGCCAAACGTAGTACTTAATGATTAAATACGTCGCAATATCACTTCGGAGAAAGGTCTTCATTTCTTTATAATGAAAGTATTAAAACTTTAACTCACAACTATTTAATTTACTTTCGTATTTACGTAACAATTTGTTTTTGCGTGAACTTCAACTGTAGTACAGTAGAAGTCCACTAGCCCGGCATCCAACAGTCCGGAATGTCCGATAGTCCGGCATCGCTCCGGAAAATTGTACAAATTTTGGTTTTCTCCAAAAGTGTGTCTTTAAAGCAAATAAAACCGCCCGAGAGCTATTCGGAAGTTTTTGGGGTAGTTCGAGATCATCCGGAAGCGCTCGGTATTGTTCGGAAACAATTAGCGGCCGGCTAGTCTCAGCTGTCACAACAAATTCAGGTGCAGTGCAGCTCCGTTAATCAATCACGAAGCGTCTTCGCCATTTTTTTTGTGTGCGTTGTTGTTTTGTGTCCTTTCACATCGCAGTAAACGTAACTTTTGAAACTGTTTATAAAAAAAGTGATTTTCGTTCTAACTGTACAGTGACCATGTTTTCAAACCTAAGCCTTCGAGTTCAAAAGGAGGAGAAACGAAAACACGTAACACTGACTCTCATCAAAAACTAGAAAATCATCAAACGGCTAGAAAAAGGCGAGAATAGAAATGTTTTAATGAATGAGTTTAATATTGGCTCATCAACTATTTATGACATTAAAAAACAAAAAGATGAACTAATGAAGTTTGCTTCTCAATCGGTAACAACTGAAAAATTGGCTTCTAGACAAACATTAAAAAAAAACAAAAACTGGAACAGCTAGATAGTGATTGTTCAAATGGTTTAGTGCAGTACGTTTCTGAAGGAAAGCCGTAACAGGGCCAATGATTGTTGAAAAGGCAAAGAAATTCGGCCAAGATTTAGGAGTTGCTGAAAGTGAATGTAATTATTCTGATGGTTGGCCCTCAGAACTTTAAGTTTCGGCATGGAATTCGAAGACTTGATGTAACTGGAGAAACCCTTTCAGCAAACCAAAACTCTGCAGAAAAAATACAAAGACGTTCGTGACTTTTTTAAATCTAAGTGAAATATTTTTTACAGTACGTGTACATACATTATATGAAATGTAAAATAAACTTTGTTGTATGTATTGCATACTGTATTTTTAGTTTAATTATAACCTAATTGTTCTTATAATTACCGCCCGACAGACCGGAATTCTCGGTAGTCCGGCACCGAGCCGGTCCCGAACGTGCCGGATTATCGGACTTCTACTGAAATCCAACGTAAAAAGAATGATTATCCCAACAATTAAAGTAACTGTCATCTGGAAATAGAATAGTTTATATTATACATTTTTATAGCACATCCTTAATATAACCGTATGCCTAACATGTACGATAACAGTGAAAAGTGTTCCGCTTAGTCTCAGCAGTGCCCACCATGCACCTTCTTTCCATGTTCTGGTCCTTACTTCAATGTTCCTCGTTTCGTGGCCAGTCCCCGGAGGACACAGTACTAAGCTCTTTAAGTATGTTTATTCATGTATTTATTTTTAATTCCATCGACGGGATCCAACAGGCTGAAAAGCACCTAACCCAGTGGGCCAGCTGTTCCGTCGATGGTGAAAAGAAAGAAAGTTTATATTATACCTTCTAAATGGCGCTTATGAATTTTCCATTTAATTTACTTCTTTTCAGGTGTTGTTGGTGTAAGAGAAACGTTTTTTCCTCATAATTGCTTCACACAAGTTAATTGCTTTTTTCCTTCTTTAAACATACTCTGTTTTTAGTAGTTTATAAAAAAGAGGCTCTTTTCTGACATAAATCATAATAGTAGTTTGCATTGTTTAATGAAGGATGTATGCTTTACTCAAAATTCAGCACTTTTCCTTTCGAAAACTGAGAAAAGCTTGTAAAGTTTCCTTAGAGCTTTGTTTCAGTTTTACATACTTTGATACACTTCTCGATTGTTTTTATCGTAATAGATTTATGTCCTTTAAATACTAAAATTTTTGATTTCATCATTCATTTTTTTAATGTATATTTATAAGGTATTTCTCCCACTTCCCTAGCGTGCCTTCGTGGTGTAGTGGTTCTGCACACTGAGCTGGTATTTCAGAGGTCCGTGGTTCGATTCCCGGCGAAGGTGGTTGCATGTTTTTCATCTTTTCTGCTTCCAATTAACGTAATGACTCTACACATTTAGTTTCAATATCTGGTTTCCTAAAAAGACTCTCCCAAGATCCCTTTTCATTTTCTTGTCATGTTGAATTATCATAACTTAATGCTTGGGTAACTTTTATTCAGTTAATGTTCAATAACCCATATTTATGCAGAACTAAGCGTAGCGGCTCTTTAATGGAGGGTTTTTTATAAATAAATGGTGCCGTTTTAAAAATTAATAATAAATCAATATATTATTTTATGTTGGCAAATCTTACAACACAAACAGCGGCAACAGTGCAAGTTTTTGATGCATTAATCACAGTCCTTCAATATGTATATATACCCTTGGTCATACGACACACACCTACACGGTAATCAAATTCTTCCCATACTCGGTATCAGTATCAGTATCAGTATCAGTAGCGGGAGCAGCCCGACCCGCCTAACCAAACAAGTTGGTCTTATGGTCATGACAGGCCATGCCCATTTCAACAAATGAAAAAATAAAACATAAAATATCTAAATGAGAATAATCATGTGTAAATAAAATTATAAGCAAAAGTGAAAAAAGGAAACAATACAAACATTTTACAAGAGCATAGACTAAAGACAAAAACAAAAAAGCGAATAACAAACACAAACATTGGTAACAACAAATTATTAAAATATACCAATTAGTGACACAATAAAATGCAAATATCATACACTGATTCCCACTTCCCGGCGCTCACCGTCACAAAATTCATCACAGATTTACAAAATCTTTATAGCATAAAAGGGATTTTTCAAAATCAATATTATTGTTTCTTAAGCCATCAAAGTAGGGACAGACCTCGAGGAAACTTAGCATCACCAAACAGATCACATAGTTTACATTTATCGTCGTTCTGTATCTTAAACCTAGCGAAGTATCCCGGGAAACGCCCATGTCCGGTCAGAAACTGGTTAACTTCAAAATCATTAAAGATAATTTTTTTTTCCTAATCAGTTCTAAATGTTTCAAATAGCGACTTTTCCTTTCAGAAGAATTCCATTGTAACTGCCATTGCTTAAAATAAAACGAATAAATAACTTTAGTTGTTATTTTTTTTTTAATCCTGAACATAAGGCATTCCCGAAACACTCCCTATGGCAGCCTCTTTTGCGAGCACATCCCGCTCTCTCATTACCGTATATTCCGATATGGGCTTTAACCCAACCAAACTTAGTATTAAAGGATAAGGATAGTTTTTTGGAAAAGATCTTTAATATCGATAATCAGACCATTATTATTTTCTGCATTATAAAGTGCATTTAAACAAGACATGCAATCTGTAAAATATGGAAGTTAGAATTTCTTGCAAAATTACTTTTCAATATCCATTTAAGGGCATAGAGGACGGCGATGAGCTCGGCTTGATAAACAGAGTTATGTTTTTCAAGGCCCAATTTATAGTGATAGATCTCACTATCAAAATAATATACAACAAAAGCCGAACCCATCCCGCCCTCATAACCCGATCCATCAGTAAAAATTTGGTATTCCGTTAAACAAGGATCATAAATATTATAATTGATAGAAATACCGTTTGCCGGATGGATCACATGTAAATTAAAGACAGAAAATGAGTCAGCAAAAACTGGGATTTCATCATAGTTAAATAAGTCCGAAATATTATTTCTTAATATAGTTTTTTATCATAATAAAACTTGTAGATTATCGAGAGAGGCGGAGTGCCCGCCAGGACGCAAAGCACTCACTCGAAACTGTGTGGAAACAACGGGTGAGCGCGAGAAGCCAGCTCCGCTGAATGGAATTGAGTTTCGTACGTAAGTGTAGTAACTCCCCTGCCCTGCGACCCCAAGCCGTAATTCCATACATAACAATGGATATAAAAACATTATTATAAAGAAGTCTTAAAATATCGTTTCTTTTATTCAAATATCTTGAATAAAAGAAACGATATTTTACCGAAATTACCCATCCAATATCTGGATGGGTAATTTCTTTTATAAAAATTTAAAATTAAGTCAGTTCGTTTTTGAATATAATTAAGATGATAATTAAAATTGAGTTTTGAATCCAAATAAACACCTAAATATTTAAATTCCTGATTGATTTTCAAAATTTCACCGTTAAATCTTAATCTAGGGGGCCGAGTGTGGCGACCGGACTTAGGAAAAAACAAAAATTTAGTTTTGGCAGCATTTGATTTCATTTGCTCCTCAGAGCACCATTGATTAAAAATTTTCATAACGTTATTAAATTTATTTTCAACTTTTTCTAATGATTCAGCTGTAATTAGGAAAACCAAATCGTCCCCATAAGCAACCACATCGACCACCGAATCAAAGTCTGTCTTTAAAAATTTATTGATTATGAGGCCCCAGAACAGTGGAGCACTACAAGATCCTCGTGGACAACCCTTGAAGATACTTCCTTTAATTTCAATCATGTTATTCGGTTTATAGATTATAATCCTATCATTGAAAAAATCCCTAATGAGTCCGAAACTATTTGAGCTAATACCAAAATTACACAAGGAAGAAAGAAGAGAAGGCCAAGAAACGGCGTCAAAGGCCTCGGAAATATTGACGGGGACCACCGCGACGTGTAAATTAGGTTTATTATATCTTATAAAATCAACCACCCGGTAGAGAGCGCCCTCTGTTGACCTACCAGGGACAAAACCAAACTGTCTTTCTGAAATTAAGTTATTAATAAATAAATGGTGATAAATCCTTTTTGTAATCAACTTATCAAGAGTTTTAGCAAAAACTTTCAGTAAACAAATCGGTCGAAAACGATTCTCTTCCTTCGGTATCAAAATAATCTTAGCCATTTTCCAAGCGTTAGGAAATGTGTGTAATTCTAAACATTTATTAAACAGTGTTAAAAGAAAACCAGGAAAGAAATCAAAAAATATTTTAATAAAAGTCCGGGTGATCCCGTCGAGACCCGGTGCACTCCTTAATCGAATCGCGGAAATAACAGAAACGAGTTCGGACCTGGTGAACTGTTTTTCCTCATAGCCAGCATAATCATCAAAGCAAATTGTGTCATCACAAAAAACCAAAATCAAGAGCATTATCCAATAAATTTTCGTAATAATGTTGAGGATTCAATAAATCACTTGCCGAGTAATTATTAGTAGCATTTTTAAAAGGTTTGTCATAATAATTTTTAAATAATTTAATAATTTTTTCCCATACTCGGTGTAGCATTCGTGACTCCCATTCGTGACGGTCTGCAGTGCATGCTTTAGCCAATCACAAACTTCCTCAAGGGACACGGCCATTGGCGGTACATAAACTCGGCCTTTAACAAACCCCCCAAAGAAAGAAATCGAATGGTGATAAATCCGGAAAGGGGGTGGCCAGGGGAGAAGGTTTTTAATCTGCTGTTGTAGCAAATCCAATCCAGTGTAACTGAAGAATATGATTAAAAAGCTCATTCCTGAAAATGGGGCAGAGTACTGTCCATTTGGAAAAGTAATCATCATAATTGGTGTTCGGCTAGAGTAACAACCAGGCTTCCAACATGTCTAGAAATCAGCCACCGATCACAGTTTCTTGTTCGAAGAAAAAGGGGCCATGCACTTTCTCGTGAAATACTGCACAGAAAACGTGCACGAAACTCACGCTACAATGAAACCACAGTTCTGGACAACTCAAAATGGAACACACAGAAAGCCTTTCCTTGTTGTGGCGCCATCTTGGAAACTGACACTGCGGCTACTCAGTAAGCATGACAAGCAAACAGCAGGTAGCATATGACAAACTTGGACAGTTGCCAACGCTTACGATATAGGTCTTACACGGGTGAGCTAATACTTCCATTTATTACTAATTTTTAAACTGCATCATTCACTTATAAACACCCTCTACCTTGCTATTTGCTGTTAGGTATTTTGTTTATCTGTGTGTTTGTGCCAGAGTTGCTGCTCTGGAAATGCTGTTATCAAACAATTATCAAATCTGGTTGTACACCTATTGTAATACACCCATTGTTGAAATCAAGTAAACATTTGCGTTTTTTACCTAAAGGCAACATGAAGTACAGGCACTTTTTACTGCAAATAAAGTCTTTTACTTTATTTGCAGTAAAAGATAATTTTTATAAGCCAGTAGAATTATTAGATTTATAAGGTATTTCTCCCACTTTCCTAGCGTGCCTTCGTGGTGTAGTGGTGCTGCACGCTGGGCCGGTATTCAAGAGGTCCGTGGTTCGATTCCCGGCGAAGGCGTCGTTAATTTTTCATCTTGCCTGCTTCCCAAAAAAATTCCTAAAATCTCTATAGTGGCGCCCGAACTAAAAGGGTTGTGGATGATGACTCTCCACGCCCAGGATTTGGCGATTGGATCCCCTAAAGAGCCCAGTCGCCCTTTAAAAAGGGGAATATATAAGGTATTTATCTCACTTTCCTAGCGTGTGTTCGTGGTGTAGTGGTTCAGCAAACTGGGCAGGTATTCCAGAGGTCCGTGGTTCGATTCCCGGCGAAGGCGTTGTTAATTTTTATCTTGCCTTGTTCCAAAAAAACATTCATAATGTTTCTACAGATTGTTTCCGGAGCAGAAAACATTAAAAGTCAGCAGTGCTGTCGCCTGGATTTGGACTTCGGTCCTCCCGATTGTTAGCCGGACCTGTTTCCAATTACATCACGAAGACAAGGGGTAAGGAGGGAAAAAATGTGTTATAATCCTTTTCTATTTCAAGACTGGAGATTGCGAGATCGATTTTTAAAAGTAAAAAGTAAATTTTTAAAAATTTCATCGATAAATCTCCTTTAAATAAACTTCCCTAAAAATTAAACATTCCTCAACCACAAAATGAAAATACTAATATCATAAGTCATTATTTTACATTATACACTGGTGAAATAAATTAAGAGAATTTCCCTATTTTATTGAATTGCTTGAAAAAACTGAACTGAAGAAGAAAAAAACACTGCTTCTAGATAAAATTGAAAATCTTCTACGGCAAATACGTAAGCGTACGCGTGTGTGTAGGCGGAGCCAGCAGAAAAAACAGGCTTTATAAGGGCGCGATGGGCGAGACGAATTGTGTTCGTTAGTATACTTCGGCGAATTTCTTGGTGTCATCTTGCAGCATTAAGTTAAATTCACATCGGAAAAGTAAAAATGAGTAACCACCAACGTTTAGATGATGGAATAAATGTGGCGAATTGTGGGGAGGCTAGAGGCAGGCCAATCGCAAGTTCAGATATGCAGAGAGTTTAGTTTAACTCCCAACGTCGTGTGTAACCTATGGAAACAGTTCCAGGATACTGGATCCATCGAGTGAAAGCCTGGACAAGGTCGTCCAAGAGCCACGAAGTCCAGAGAAGATCGCTGTTTGTCCATTTTAGCGAGGCGTAACAGAGGGGCTACAGCTTCTCAGCTCTCTCGGGACCTGTAGGCAGCCACAGGAACCCGTGTAAGGGTGACTGTTTCCAAAAGACTGAATGAGAGGGTTGTTTGCTAGAAGGCCGGGTGTTTACGTCTCGCTCACGTCTACGGACAGGAGAGTCCGATTAACATGGTACAGGCAGTGTAGTGATTGGAGTACGGAGCAATGGCCAAACGTTCTGTTCACTGACGAGTCACGTCTTAGCCTAAATACTGATTCTTGCCGTACTTTCATATGGAGAGAGCCAGGGACCCGCTACCTACCCTCCAATGTCCGCGAAATCAACAATTATGGCGGTGGCGGTGTAATGGTCTAGGCAGCATCATGTTGGATGGCCGCACACCTCTCCACGTCTTTGACAGAGGTTCTGTGACTGGTGTGAGGTATAGGGATGAGGTCTTGGAGCCCTATGTTCGCCTTTTACGGGGTGCAGTGGTCCACGAGTTCATCTTACAGGACGATAACGCGAAACCACATAGAGCTCTTCTGTTCGACGAATTTCTCGAGAGTGAGGATATTCGCCGGATGTATTGGCCAGCCAGGTCTTCAGACCTCAACCCTATAGAGCATGTCTGGGAAGCTCTGGGGAGGGCAATTACAACTCGCAATCCCCTACAAGAACCGTCCAGGAGCTGAAAACAGCGTTGCTGAATGAGTGGGACCAATTGCCACAAGCACTGATAAACTGCCTTATTTCCAGTACGACATCACGCTGCGAGGCCTGTATGGCTGTTAGAGGGGACCATACCCCCTATTAACCCATTTCTTTTGTGTCTTCTGCAACCGCTGTTTCAGACCTTCAGACCCCCATGAGTGTTACACACGAAACGGGTTCTGTTGAATGTTTATTTTATTTGTATTGCATCAACCTATGTTCACACCAAATTTTAATTAAAATCTGTCCAGTAGTTCTGGAGATCGTAGATCAAATATGAAAATTCTCTTAATTTCTTTCACCATTGTACATACAGAATAGATGTTATATATTAAAACTAACTCAACTCACCTGTGCTTTTTTAGTGAATATCATCATATAACTGGGACAATATTTTTAATGAAACAAATTGATATAGTACAATCATTAAGTTCTTCAAAGCAGGAAACATGAAAAATGTGCTGTACTTTCGCCTGGACTCGAAGTTCGGACCTTCCAAATGCTGATTAGATGCAAGTTCTAATTAAACCATAAAGGAATGCGATGAGGAGGGAGAAAAACTTTATAATATATTAATAAAAATTTCTCACTATTTTTGGCTGTGACTGAGCCTCAGTGTTGCAAATCCCAAGTCAAAATTTAAAAAAAAAAATTATAACATAATGCCATAATTAGATCATTGATTTTAAAATGGTTGTTGCATACAATTAAGCAATTTTTAAAATCATTAAGAACATCATACTTACCTGGTGGAATTGGTTTAAAGCCTTTTTAGATGCAACCGAACAAGATTTTTCGAATTCTTCTGGCGTTATTCGGAGGTCTTCCATGTAACTACCCAACATAAAATCTACCTGATGAAAAATAAAATATTTTGCCATCAATTATTTTCATTCATCAACCTTAACAAAACTCTTTTTAGATCATGTATGTATACATATGAGAGACACAGTAGAGGTGGGAAATCAATTCTCAAAAGCAAAGAATATCATTAGACATACACTACCAACAAAACATACAACAACAATTAACAATAGTATTAATTTTCATCATTTTTTAATATTTTTCTTGCGAAAAAGAAATTTTCGCATGTGTAACATTTATTTCAAGAGAAACATAGTCTGCCTGTGCTTTTAAATGTTTAACTTTTAAAATGAAATAGCCGAGCACTTTTTTTTTTTTTTTTTTTTTTTTTTTTTTTTTTTTTTTCCCTAGGGTGCTGTAGATAAAATTGTGCTTTTGTCCTTTAAGACAAAAAAAAATTCTGTAACACAGTCCATTTCTTATTTTTAAACCATTCTAGCCCAAAACCTAAAGACAAATTTATTAAGTTTAACTAAGGATGAAACTTAAACACAATTGGCTAGTTTCTGACGTGATCCTGGAATGGCAATACTGATGATAAATAATTAGCCACGTTCAAAATATGATTATATCTATGTTCTTCGAAGAATTTAAAAGGCCTCTTTCACGTGTAAAATCAAATTAAACGTAATTTAAAATATTTACGTAAAATAGTCTTATTCATAAAATACAAAATCAAGACTTCTTTTACCTTTTACTATTTGTATCGATTTAAAACTGGAATCATGACTAGGAGAAATCCTCAACATTGTTTAACCAAGTCAACCTACAGGCAACTGCCAGCCTGAATTCATTTGCAGTCATTAGCTTTCAGATTCACCAGTGAGAGAACTAACTGTACAGAATCTCTATAAAGATCGTACTATTGTATAATATTTTCAATTCTACTTCTCAAGTACTTTTAATTTTCAGCTTTCATAGAGGATTTATATGAAACAAAGAAATAAATGGAAGAAGATAAAATGGAATTAAAACTGGACACTCAAACTTGAAACTTTACTAAGAAAAAATTGCATTTTTGGAATTGTTTTTACAATACAAAATATATCTAATGTGCACTCCACATGACTTCCTTGTACGGCCTATTAACCCTTTGCGGCACAGTGTGTCCGGTCTCGACACACCTAAAAATTTCCTTCTGTACACACAGAAAAATTGAATGAAAAAGGATTTATAGGTTACTCCGAACCTTCGCTATTTATAGTAGATGGCAGCTCAACACAAATCACTCCATATATTTTAGCCATGTTTAGTTTTTTAAAACCCTCATTTTTCAAAGAAATCTTCCAGATTTTTTTAGGATATAAAAGGAATTGTTTGAAAAGAAATTTCTGTGTTATTTTTTGTCTGAATGCTAATATCCTTATTCTATATTAGTTTTAAATTTTTACCTTGAAATCTTACCTAAAACCAAACGGCGAACCCTAGGTGTGCCCAGATCGGGCTCACCGATAATCTAGGACAACTGAGAGTCTGTATTCTTTGTTTCTCCGCATCTCATCGGTCAGTTCATTGATAACAATGCTCGTTTCAGCACTCTTTCCGAAGATCTATTCAATCAGTGTGCCACTTTGTGCACACTCACAAAATTAAAAGATAAGTGCTATCTTCCCAAAATTTTACTTGTGTACTCCTCTAGGCCTAATTAGACTGCCTACCTTTACCTTTATCAAAACTCCGACTTTAAAAGGTAGCGTGCCGGAAAGGGTTAAACTATACACATTTTTTGCTGCATTTCATTTAAACTTATTTCCTCGAATTTTATTAGAGATATATTTGTCATTAAATTAATTCAGTTCTCAGTTTTCTGCAATGCAAAATGTATAAAATTTCAAAACATCTTCATTAAAAATTCTAAAATGCAGAAGAACATAAAACAACAAATACATTATAAAAGGTTTATAAAAAAAATTTTTTTAGAGAGTTTCTACGCCAAAACAAGCAATTCGACCAACGGGCAAGAAGACACTAAAGTTTACTTTTGCTCCCACTCGGCAAAAGGACACTGCAGTTGGTGCACAAACTGATTTAATTCTTTATTCTACTAAGAGTTTCAAACGCAAATAAATTTCGGCTTCTTTAGGTTTAGTAGCACTTAAACAACTTTCAAATTGCTGATAATTCTACAACTGTTGCGTGCAGATTAACTAAGAGCATAGAAACTTTAAATGGAACATAAGAAAAACATAATTCAATACCTTTTAAAACAAAAAATGCATAATTTTAACAACATATAAGTATAAAAAAATGGGCGTACTGACCCGGGTAACAGAGTGGGTATGTATGAAATATTAAAAGCATAAGGAAAATCCAGAGCAGTGTCGATCCTTGCTTAGATCCATATTGAAGAAGAATTTTGATTGCGTAGTATGCTAATAATGTTAACTTGGTAATATCTAAAGAACATGGCAGTCGAGGCAGTTTTAATTCCATTTTTATTTCCAATTGATATTTGTGGCCCCGATCACTTGTCACTCTAGTCGTGCCTTTCCACAGAAGATTTATATTTTTGATATTGTTGGGATAGAAAGCAAACCAGCAAAATTACATCTTAGCAGAGTAGAGAGCAAAGCTGAAGTGCGTAGTTATGCAAGATGGAAGCACGCGAAGAGAAATGTTTTGGTTTGCAATTTGGTGATTGGTCAAGAAGCATCTGCATTAAGGATTACGTAAGATCGCATGATTAATTTGAATGACGCAGTTTAAGCGCTATTTTAGGACAGTTAGATGAAGTTCCCAAATGAAATAGAAAATAAAAGAGGTTATAGTGAATTAAATTTAGAAGTTTGCTTTTATATTTTTTTATCTTACATGTATATCATTATTTCAAAGCACAGTCGCCATGGTTAGAACTCTTAACAGCTTTCGATAACACTCATGGCTGAGCAGACAGTAATGGTTGAAGGTAAAAACTATGATAACGCAATTAATGCACTTGAGCTTGAAGAAATTTCCAGTCTTTATTTCTACGCATATAAAATCATCTCAGTAGATATTGATCCAATCATAATGAAATCCGATACATTTCTATGAAATATGATAAATTTCTATGTACGTTGGTTTTTTAAAAGAATGACGCAGGCATTTTAAAGAATAATGACGTAATTAAGTCGCCAAAGGTATTTATACAAAAGTAGGTGCGATCCTAGAGACAAGCTGTGATTGGTTAACACTAGTTTTAGTTGCTCTTTTCCAGCAGCGTTACATAACCTAGAAAGATCTCGAATTCAGGAGAACAGATGAATTTAGGGGGAGAGCACCAAATCTAGAATCGTTAATTTTGAGGTCGCCAATTATTTTTTAAAGCAGCTATCGTATTTTGTTATATCTTACATTCTATTGCTTTTATTCCAATTTAATAATAAATTTACATGTTGTAAGTTTATATATATATATATATATACGAGTGTGTGTAGCTCTGGTGTGTCCGATTGCAACCAAAAAGGGAGGTGCACAACTACATGTTATGGCAGTCCCAGATATATACGTACGTAGAGACGTCACGAAGAAATCTCTTGTGATTCCATTTTAAATCCAATTTACCATCCGTTTTGGGTAAAAGAATCCCTTATTCTGTCCATATGTATGTAAATGCCAAGCAAAAGCTTCGTTCAAATGGATTCGAGAGCGATTAAAATGGATATTTGCGTTGAAATAAGACACAAGAGATTTTTTGCGATTACAAGACTTCCTTTATTTTCACAAGGAAGTAAAAAAAGAAAAAAAGATTGCGTATAAAATGACCTTATTTTTTTTAGCTTGTTACGAAGTCATTTTACAAGAAAGCTATCATATTTTGAGGTAAAACTAAATAAGCATATTTACTTCTTGAAGTATTATTTTAAAACTAAGTACGTGAATCTTCTCCTTATGGCTGACAGTTCTCCAACTACACAACCTCTCTCAAATTCTGACATCTGCGCATATTTTTCGCGCACCTGTATGCGAAGCATAGTTGATATCTACCAGAGTACACGGAATGAAATTTGTGAAGAATTTATGAACTGGAATCGTAATTTCTCCCCTTAAATATCCTGCCAGTTGCACAGATCAGATACGCTGTAGCGAAAACCGTTAATTCATCGTCAGAAAAAATGTAAAATTTTGCATTTTCCGTCGAAAAATTGTATGCACATCAATTTGGGTCCAATTTGCTTTATAGCTTCTCGGTGCGTCGTAGTGCGTCGTCCTTTTTTTTTTTTTTTTTTTTTCCTGAAGTATCAGCCATAAGGAACCATATTTATATATTTCTAAATTTTAGCTTCCGCCTATCAGATGGCATGTTTTCGAAGCTATGTTATACACTCTTAGACAAAAAAAAAAAAAAAAAAAAAAAAAAAAACGGCGCACCAAGAAGGAGTTATCCGAATGGGACGAAAATCGGTAGAAGTGATGATGTGCATGTACAGAAAAACAAATGATTACAATTTGAGAAAAATTGAATGATTTATTGAAGTGATAGAGCTTCACAAAGTGAAAAAGTCTAACGCGTTTGTCCTTGTCTGGCCCTTATGCAAGCAGTTATTTAGCTTGGCATCGATTGATAGAGGTTGCGGATGTCCTCCTGAGAGACATCGTACCAAATTCTGTCCAACTGGCGCGTTAGATCGTCAACATCCCAGGCTGGTTGGACGGCCCTGCCCATAATGCTGCAAACGTGCTCAATGAGCGAGAGATACGGCCACCTTGCTGGCCAAGGTAATGTTCGGCAAGCACTAAGGCAAGCAATAGAAACATGCGCAGTGTGGGGACGGGCATTATCTTGCTGAAATGTAAGCCCAGGGTGGTGTGACATGAAGGGCAATACAACGGGCCTTAGAACTTCATCGACGTACCGCTGTGCTGTAAGGTTGCGACGGATGGCAACCAAAGGGGTCCTGCTATGAAATGAAATGGCACCCCAGACCATCACTCCTGGTTGTCGGCCTGTCTGCCGGAAGACAGTCAGGTTGGTATCACACCGCTGTCCGGGGCATCTCCAGACTCACCTTCGCTGTTCAACGGGGCTCAGTTCAAAATGGAACTCATCACTGAGGACTATTCTACTCCAGTCAGTGACATTCCAGTGCGAATGAGACCGACACCGCTGCAAACGGGCTTGACGTTGTACAGGGGTCAATGGTAGTGCGACGCAAGGGGTGCCGTGACCTCAACACCCTTTCTGTGAGCCGTCTGTGAATGGTCCTTGCGGTCACTGAAGCAGTAGTTACCCGTACAATCGATGATAATGATGCATGTGTGGCTGTGGGTGAAGCTCTGACGATTGCTCGGTCTTCACGTTCTGTCGTTTCTCTTAAGCCTACCGCTTCCTTCCTGACGCTGTATGCGGCCATGGTTTACCCATCCCTGCCAACATCGTCTAATAGTGGCATCGCTCCTGCTCAAATGTTGAGCTATTCGTCTATAAGACCAACCGGTTTCTTTGAACCCAACTACACGACCTCTCTCAAATTCTGAAATCTGCGCATATTGTTCGCGCTACTGTATGCGAGGCATAGTTACTTTCTACCTGAGTACACGGAATAAAATTTGTGAAGAATTTATGACCTGGAATCGTAATTTCTCCTCTTAAATAACCTGCCAGTTGCGCAGATCAGATGTGCTGTAGCGGCAACCGTTCATTCATTGGCAGACAAAATGTAAAATTTTGCATTTTACGACGAAACCTGTATGCATATCAATTTGTGTCCTATTTGCTTTATATCTTCTCGGTGCGTCGTCTTTTTTTTAGCAATTTAAATGTACATAATTAAGCAAGCCATTCAAATTCATAACTAAAAATAAAATACATTTTTTAAGTCTTCAGCATATTTCAGGAATAATTGAACTTACTAAGTTTTTGTATGCTTCGTGTATTTTCCTCAGCTCCTCCTCATTCTCTGCTCCAGGCTCAAATACTAAAAATATAAATTATCGTTAATTTGAAGGAATAAAAAGGACTTACAAAACTCATTATATCAAAGATACCTTACAATTCAAAGAAATTCGCAAACACATCTGATCAAATCTTTTCTAAATACTATAAAGGGCCACAAGTATGGTGTTGCAAAATTTCCATGATTAGCTCCGTATAAATTAGTTTTCTGCATTAAAATAGAACATAAAAATAAAATAAATGTGGTTGGGGAGTTGAAGATGATATCCTAGGGTAAATAACAATTCCAAACGTTTTCCACACCACAGACATTTAATGAAAATAACGGAAAAGATACAAATTGATTCGAATCAAGGTGCCGTTGCGCCTTCTTGCGCTTGTTGGATACAAACAAAATTCTGCATCATCACTCTTACATATTTTAAATAGCTGCTTGGCGCCTACTTGGCCTACTTGCGCTCGCTATTATATACAGTTCAGTTACCACCTTCGTATCGGATCAACCTCTTCAGTTACCAATTTCGCATGGAAACAAAATCTTACCACCTTTGCGTCGAAGCGACATCTGTCTATATGAGTGACATCCTCCTCCTTCCTCTTGCTGCAGGCGCATAGGTGATGCCCTCTGGTGGCTTTGTAAAACTAACTGTTACCACATAAATAAATAAAAATCTGAAAGTTTTCAAATTTTATATTACGCCCAAAGGGGCTTTTTTTTAAGTTTTGTGCATTACCTTTATTTATTAAATATCGTATTCTTCGCACTTAAACCGTAAAATTCAATTCAACAGGAATATCACAAAATAATTTAAGAAGAGCATATCTTTAGAATTTCCAATACACAGACACACGCTTTGGACATAAAAATGTCCCCCCCATACAGTATTACCATTGCTCGCTTTGAAATCGTTGAATTTGTTAATCAAAAAATCGTTAAAGTTTTACAAAATATGAAACAGATAATAAAAAAAAATTCCAGATTCCAAATTTGGGTTTCCAGATGCCCACATTCGGGTGAGGGTTCCGTTTTTCAAAAATTTGATGGCTCTAGGTACCGTTGTTTTATCACAATGCGAGAAACATACATACATTTATGTAAATTTTTCATTATTTAATTTCTTCAAATATAATGCAGGGCGATAGTATTTGATAGCAACAGTTTGAAAAGTGATACGAATTTATCAAGCATAACTTAGCGAGTATACCACCACGTGATCGCTGCAATAGTGACCTGCACGTGATAATGTGTGGCAATGTCGATAGCCAATGAATCGCTTGGGAAAGAAGTGGGTAGTGATTTCAAAAGCCAGTTAAAACACTTAGACTACAAATCGGCTCAAATATCAGAATTTGTCGCAAAAGTGTTATTTTGTAATAGCGGTGTGGTATTCAACTGCCGCGTAACAGGACCAGGATCAAATCCCAAGGTCATTAGCATCTTCATTGGACATACGAATCTCGTACGCTGCTGCAGTTCTTATCGGTACTAACAGATGGCGGCACAGACAAGTAACTACATACCGAGCAACATCCCCCCTCCCAAACAAGCATACCACTACATGATCGCTGCAGCACTTTTAAGATCATTCTTTCAGCAGCTTTTTTAGTGCTGATAGTAACTAACTGGAACATAATTCTGGGAAGGTGCGTGGTTTTTCATTGGTTTTAGAAAGTGTTGATAGCGGCCTTTTCTCCAAGAAGTTTAGTAATATATTTTTTTAATAAATTTATCAATTTTGGTACTTAACCGCCCAGACGGTATAGTGGTTAGGGGAGCCTGACTGTGATACCAAAGGGCACGGGCTTGAATCCCGGAGAAGGCATGGATGTAAAATCGTCTGTCCCTTCATAGGAGGTAACGTTGGCCGCCTATTAGGTGCCTCCAGAATAAAATTCTTACCGCTTTTGGCCTTAGTAGTGGCCAATGCCGTTAGAGGCAAAGTGCCCGCCATTTGTAAAAAAAATTTGGTAATGTTAGCACGCATTAAATATTGGATAAATGTTTGAGTATTTATCAATAACATCATTTACCACACTCAATTTTTTTAAAGTTTTTTTTAATTATTTATGTTGGTTTAATAATTGGTAAACCACCGGCATTAAAATGTGAATTTACTGCATGCTTAACAGGGAAGCATCCTTTAATTTTTCAAGAGCAGAATACAGATTTATACGCGTAAACAATTACTCGTTCCTAAGTAAAATGCAAGCATATAAATTTTAATGATGATGAATGAAATACAGTTGCTTTAGAAATTATCACTCATGTAATATAAAAGAACTCCGTTGGTTGTAATGAACCCCGAAATGGAAACGCTGAGAAATACTTTTATAAAACCTTCATTGTGGACATATAAGATCAATATTCAACTACAAGTTTGATTACGTTTCTTACCTCTGTTTGCTCATGATTAATGTTCAATCGTTTTCAAACAATAATGGCTTATTTCATCCACCGATAATACCTCAATTAATGAACATAGTCAATTAATGATCATTCGGCTAGCAATACTAATTCAAAGTTTCATCTGGACTTCGCATCTACAAAGAATATATGGTCAAGCCATGTTATTTAAGAAAACTGAGATAATCATTCCGATGAAGATATCTACTGTCAAGATTGAAAAAAAAAAAAAAACTTGTCAAATATAAAAGGGTGTTCTATGGCCAACTTATTATATAAGTATAAATAGAATGCCATGAAGTGAGTTCGTATTCCCATAAAACTTTGTTTTACAATATACAAGATTCGGATTCTAGGAGTGGTGTTGGCACCTGGGTACCTGGGCCGAAGGCCCTACTCCATGTAGTAGATCAGTTTACCTTTCCTAATTGTTACAAGAGAGAACTAAAAAGAGATTGTAGCTGACTGAATTTAAGAGATGTAATAATAATTAGATAACTGAAGATGAAATTGGTGGTTTGGCTATAAACATAGACATAGAATGGCATAGACAGTTACGAGTCAATTGGCGCATTAAGGACAGCGGTGAGGAGCAACACTGCGTAAGTGAGATATATAAATAAAGAATATATAGATACATAGGTAAAACAAATACAAAAGAATACAATTTTACGTTATATAATTGTTGATGATAGCCATTGTTCTATTACTATTTGCTAAATCATTGTAATCATAAGAAGAGATTTTAATAACGGTGTTGTGTATACACCTCTGCCTCTCATGGAATCTTTTTGCAAGAAAATAGCAATGAGTTCTGAGCTTAACAATAGTTAGTTCCTCGTGGATCCGGTTATTACAAAGATACCACGAGACATCTATGATCTGCAGTTCTGCGCTATCTGTAACCTTTTTTCTATTACTTTTGCAAGCATACGCCCACACTGGGCACGCATAGCAAAGCATGGGAGGCAATATGGATTTGTAAATGAGTAACATGTTACCTGTAGATAGAACGCATAAAAGTTTCTTGGAATGAAAGAAAATAGAGTGCAATTAATTGTTTTAGTGATTAGATTTGGCATCAAACAGGGCTGAATTAAGACTTATGATTTAAAAAATTCTGCTGCCCCTTAAATACTTAGGCCAGTTTTTTAACCTTTTATTTGTTCTCAATCTTGGTTTATCTGCACCATGCTGTCCATGACAAAAATAGGAATATGAAATTTTTGTACTGCCTCTTTCCTTTGAGTCCCTAAATACCTTTTTGTGGTGACCCCTCTTCTTGATGCCTCTTCTTACGCAATGGTTATGTCACCTCTGTCACTGGATGAGAAATGATTATGCAATCATTATGGAAAAGAACATCAAGAAAAATAATTAAAAAGCCACTATTATCTTATAAATTATTAAGCTATTATTAAATTAGAAAGCATGTTCTTTCACTCAGATCGCATAATTAGGCTCGCTGCAGTATTTTCGGTGCCTTAGGCGATCAGTATTGTTGACGCCTCGTATGAATTTAAAATACAGGGTGTTTATAAAGTCCCGGACCCATTTTGATGTTTAATAACTCATAAAATAATGAAGATATAAACAAACGTATGGCATTTATTGATGGAATAACTTATATATTTTCCTTTTCAGGTTTGAATACCTTTAGTTTTGTAAATATCGTCTGCGCGTGTGGTTAATTTCAGATAATTTCATTTCCCAGTCTAAATATCTGTACTTTTCTAAATACTGTCTCTTATTAATTGCATTTTTCTCTCTTTTAAAATGCGCATATGGGGATCTGAAAAGCCCCATGAATACCGTGAGGCACAAAGGGATTCCCCAAAGGTTAATAAGTGGTGTGGACTAATGCACGACCGAGTCATTGGGCCTTTCTTTTTTACAGAAAAGACGGTCTCACCAGTCGTAAACTTAGACTGTTGGAAAACTTCGTATTTCCACAATTAGAAGAGCTTCAGCCACATGTCTTTTTTGCAACAAGATGGTGCACCACCTCATTGGGGTACCACCGTTCGTAGTTCTTTGAATGACCATTTTATAGGAAGATGGATTGGGCAAGGAGGTCCAATTCCTTGGCCACCCAGATCACCTGATATAACGCAGCTGGACTTTTTTTTTCCTTTGGGATTTGTAAAGTTTACAGGAGGAGAGTGTCGAAAATGATGACATAAAAGCCAGAATTAAACTGCAAAGCCTCTGTGGATCCGAATGCTTGCCGGTAACTGGCGTGAAATTGAATAATTGACTTGATATTCTCCGTGCGACGAAGGGGGCTCACGTGGAAGTTCATTGACAAGGGTCCTGAAAATTTTTGAGTCTATCTAACCATTTATGTTAATAATTTTAATCTATCTTTATTATTTTATGAGTTATTAAACTTCAAAATGGGTTCGGGACTTTATAAACACCCTGTATTAGTAAGTCTAAGCAAAATATATTTTTATTTAGATGTTGCTTGCCATAACAACTTAACTGGCCCCTGCAAAAATCGGCGTGCTTAGCGGCTGCTTATGTCACCTATATACTTGGAGCTGACCTGCATACAGTCACTGAAACAGAAAAATATACAGTAGGTGTCGCCATACTTATTAACCGAATCTCAAACGATGATTGGTCACTCTGAAATCCTATCCGAAAGAGGAAAGTACAACTAAACGTAATGCATGCACTGTGAGAAAAGTATAATTTATTCTCTTAAGTTTACATAGAATCTATATTATTCTTAATATCAAAAATAAGTTAATGCGTTTAGCCTTAAGCATAATTAATTCATCAATTAGGTTTAACAGAAAATTCTGGGAAACAATACATACCGACTGATTTTTGCTCAATGAAGGTAAGAACAGGTATATTCCATATTGGTCCCCTCAAAAATTCCACAAGGGAATCGAAAACCCATTCCAGTTGTTCGTCTGCCATTGTGCTGAAGGGTATGCCAAATGAGCAATATTTGATATTAACGTGAACAGTCTGACGAACCGGAACATAGCGCAACCGTTTCCAAGGAAACCGCGAAACAAGGTAGGAGGTGTTTTGCTTTTTTCTGTTTATTTGGCGTCCTTCAATTTAGTTATGATATCGTGTGCTAAATTTTGCTATAAATTTGATTGCTTATAAATTGATTGAAAATTAAAAACTGATGTTTACATTAAATTAGTGTTTCTAATTAAGTTGAAAATACTGTAGTGCAACGACTGAATCAATTTTGATCTATCGTTAATCATTCGTGTAAGTTTCCGGTCGCCGAATGTCTTCTTTAAAATTAATTTTTTAAATATTTTATAGCACTCCAGTCATTCGTTTTTTCTATTTTACTAATTTTAGTACTTCAGAATAGAATTTAAGGAGAACGTCGTTAATTCTTTCACAATTTAACTTTATGTGCTGCGACCATAACACAACTTATTAAACCCCACCAGTCATTTGATAAATATCTGCATTTTACAATCGAAAGCATTTTGGCTGTAAATCATTATTTATTTATTTTAATAAAAAAAAGACTTCAGATTTTTAAAATATGTATGTATTTTTTCTTTAATGAGTTTGCTAAACATGCTTATATCTGGATTTTTTGATGGAATATGTTTTATTAAGTTTGCAAGTGTATACTCTGCAAATTAAGGAATAATTTTAATTTTTCAGTAACATATGCATATAAAACTGCTATTGAATAATAGAAAAGGGTATATATATATTCATGAAAATTACTTATTCATTTTTCAGTCACAAAGTGTACATTACATTGTGTTGTTTTAATTTCAGACAGTTTTGTATTCTAAAATAGCAGAATAATAGTAGAATCTGTTTTATAATAAATCCTAATAGTTATAATGTGTATTATAAACTAGTGTAAATATATATATCATATTGAAAGATTAAAGGATCTAGTAATATTTGAAAGACTTTGCATAGCAAATTTCTTAATTTCATTGTTCATACATATGTTTAACTTAACCATCACTAATGACCACCACCTAAGCTTTAGGTGGTATTTGATATTTGCATGTTACAAACTGGATGATTAAGTTTGTCAGTTTTGGCAATTAAATATGTGGTGACTGCTTTTTACCAGGAAGAATACATATATCTTCATGCAGGCTATATTATAGAAAACTGTGAGAAAAAGTCTTAATGGGGAATAAATTAGTTTCTTTCAAATAATTTTTTAAAAAAGGATTATGTTTCAAAATTAAAATCTGTTTAAGCAGATTTTGTGACAGCTCTGGCAGTGAACTTGATTGTCATTTGTAATAAATAGTTTCTGTTTGTGAACATTCAAGCAGGTTAAAAAACATATTAGGCACATTTTCAGTAAAAGCAGAACAGTAAAAGGAAAAGAAGGCAGAAATTTATTTGCTGTACATGTTATATATTTATGTAGTTGTTCTTTCCTTGTTAAAATAGCCACTTCACTTAGTAGTTAAAATTTTTAAATTTTACCAAAGGCTTATGCCATGGCAGTTTGAACAAAGAAGTACTAAGTATTTCAGTCAGATTGAAATATGAAATGGGAGAAAATAATAATAATAATACAAGTAATATAAGTATTTGTCTCTAGATGTTATTTTTCCTATAAATTTGGCTTTAAAGTCTGTATGTGGTTCTAGTTATAAAATTATACATCATTAATGTTATTTCTTTCATTTATTTTGAGATAAAAATTCTCCCTGCTGTCCAGCTGAAATACAAGACAAAAATAATAACAACTTTTGATTAGACTAGAAGAGAAACACGCTAATGTGACAATCAAAATCGTAAAATACAACCTTGTATTTAGCGTAGGTATAATGAAACACTCAATCGATTTCGAGGGCAGCTATTTCTCCTGATGAGGGCCCTCCTCATCAGGAGAAAGAAATACATAGAAAGAAGAAAATAGGAGAAGGAGTCACAGAAACACGTGGTCTTATCAGCACTGCATGTGATTATAACTAGATTTTTAATCAGAGTTTCACTGGGCCACCAACTTTTATTGAGCCAAGTTATCTGATTTTGAGCGTAAGGTGCATTTGCCGCTCGCTCCCTATTTTAACTTTGCTAATATTTCTTTATGCTTGATCAGATAGCCTGGCTCAGTAAAGTAGGCGGCCAGTGCAACTCTGATTAAAAATCTAGTTATAACCACGTGCAGTGCTGATAAAGGACCACGTGGTTTCTGTGACTCCTTCTCCTATTTTCTTCTTCTTTCTATGTATTTCTTTCTCCTGATGAGGAGGGACCTTCAGCTGCCCTCGAAATCGATTGAGTGTTTCATTATACCTACGCTAAATACAAGGTTGTTTTTTACGATTTTGAACTTTTGATTATTCTAATTATTAGTTTCATACTTCAAAACATGGAATTCTGCTTCTATCCAAAACATATGTATTAAGTATCCAAAGCATGAGGAGTAAGAACTTTATTAGGTATTCATTTTTATTTTCACATGCTCCATATTTTCTTTCTTTCTATTTATTTCTCTTTCTTTCTTTCTTAGATTTGGTTTGAATCACTTAGTATGTATGAGACTATTATTAGATTTCTAACTTGAGGAGTCAACTATACCACTTCAATTTTTCATCTAGTTTATTCAATTTTTCATCCAACAACAGGACACCATACCATTTCAATTTATATATTTTTCACTATTAATATGATGCATTGCCTTTATTTGAAACTTGTATATAATATTCATATAATGACACTTTACTTCATTTTTATTATTATTATTATTATTTAATTTTTCTATGCATGCAAACTTGCATTTAAATATTTGTATTGTCGGTGATAAAAGAAAAACAGTACAGTAATGAATAAAATGCAGTTTCCTTTATAGAAATCTTTTGACTTTTTTATGCCATTGATAACCTAGTACAGTTAACTAGAGATTCAAATTCAGTTAATTCTTCTTAAATGTAATAAAATTAATTATGAGAATAAAGAGACAGTATTAAAAAAAAAGGAAAGCATATCCTTTAATACCTAGCCCGAGTGGTAAAATCACTGAACACTGGTTCTTCAATCTGATTTCGAGTTCAAGTAAATGAGCTAGCTGCATTGCAGTATTCATGATTTCATGCTTCCAGTGTGAATATGAGCCAGTTTTCCTGTGAAAGGCATCTCTTGTATTAGGTATTTACCTCTCATATGTTTTAGCGTTATTCAAACTACCATGTCCTTTAAAAGTTAGATGCCTGGTAACCTAGCATGTGTGTGAGCAATTGTTTAAACAAGAGTTATTAAAGAGCTTTTTGTTTAAAATGTACACAGAGAATATTTCGTTTTTGACAAAGTAAAAATTGATGAATAAATATAATCAAATGCTGTAATAGTATTCTTCAAATGTATTCGGTATTGTTCTGTTATCGGGACCAGATTCAGAAATGTGTGTATATATGCATGTATATATGGATGTATGCGTTCATGTACACATGTGCATGTAAGTATATATATACACATATATGTACATCCATCCATACATACATACATTTCTGAATCCGGTCTCAATAACAGAAGAGTACCATATAAGCATATGAATCATATCTTAAATGCTTTTCATATTTTTTAGATAAATAATATTATTATAAGAGTTACATGATTGTTTTTCTGTATTGCAATATATCTATTAGTGTTGTTTTGTTTTATTTAGTGATAATATTGGTATAAGATCTAAGACTTTCATCTTGTTGATTGTACATACACTTTGGATTAGCAACGCTCATTCCAGTTGCATAGAAGCTTGAGACCTCTTAAATGCAAAGCTATTTAAGAATTATTACTAAAGACAAAACAGGTAATGATTTGACGATACTAAATTTATAATTCACTTATAAAATGAATTGTTTGTTTATTATTTTGGCTCTACTCTTATATGCGCCCTAAGATCACCAAATGTGGCGATATGTGTTCTGTGCTGGTTTTTGGCATGATTCCGTGCTATGGGATAAGGTACGATGTTGGAGTTGTTAACGAGTCTTTTGTTCATGGGTGCGTTTATAAGGATTGAAGTGTATTTTTGGAATTTCTGTGGTACTTTTAAAACGGAGTGCAAAATGCGGAGCTGCTATGAGAACCCGGACGAAGAAGGGCGTTTCTGATAGTTCTTGTGTGAATTTGCAGTCAAATGCTTGCTGGCAAAGTATGTGGCTGTCAGCTCGTGGTTTTCATGTAGTAAGTTAAGTTTGGAGGAAGTTTTTATCGTTACTTTCAGAATTTTCAATCGCAGAAAGACATGTGATATATCAAAATGGGGGCACTTTTGTTCACACACGTTGTGTGACTGGCGAAATTTTATTATCGAATGTATTATGGTAAGTACATTTTATTTTACTGTTTTTATTTTATAGAATGTTATATTCATTGTTTTTTCACTATGAATTTGTTCTTATTGTTGTTTTTGAATTGTTTGTAATTTTAGTTATATTAGTTTATTTTTTTGATTTGTTCGTAATGCCTAGATTGTGCAATTTGTAGATTTTTTTTTATGTTTAAACAGGATGCTGTGTATATGGTATTCTTTGAAATTTATTGTTGTTATGTTAATTTATTAAAGCGAGGTGTGTGTAGTTCCTAGATTCTTTCTTTGTCTAGACTGTGCAATTAGTAGATGTTTTTTGAAGTTAACACATATCGCTGTGTACATGGATTCTTATAAAATATTTTTGGTTAGAAACTTTACGTTTTTGCTATCTAAATTTTTTGTTTCTGTTTCGGATTTTTAGCTTAAATTGTGTGTTCAAAACGGGGTTTTTGCTTTTGCGAAAACCGCGTTTAAAGTTTGAAATGTAGACAAATTTAGATAGTAATATGGCACCATGGAGTTTCTTGCCAAAAATGTTTGACAAGAAATTTGTCACCACATTTGGTGACTTGAGGACACATATAAGAGTAGTTCCATATTTTTTATAAAAATGCTTGAATTGTTTTATAAAAGGAATTGTATTTAAAATGAATAGTATGCATTGTGTATTTTTCTCTTTGAATGAGTTGGCTATGGGCTTTAAAGATCTACTGTAATTTAACCTTAATAGTAGTACTTTTTTAAAAGTTAAGGCAAGTTCTAATGATGCACACTTTCTGATTTAAACATTCAATAAAACTGCCACTTTTTTGAGTATGTATAGGATAATAGCCAACCCACACATGCAGATAGATACCATACACATTTCAGTAAATGTTGATGTGTTTTATATTTAACTCTTATAGCTGAATAATAAAATTTATTACTTTCCTAGCTATAAAAATGTAAATATCAGTAATCTGGATTCCACTTTTTCCCATATAAAATGCCTGATCTATTATTATTTAAGAGTAGAATAGTACCTATCAGCTATATAGATAGCAAGATAGCAAAACAAGCCATTTGGTCTCAAAGTCGCCAATCAGTTGGTGTGGAATTGAGGCTTATCAAAAGGTATAATTAACTTGTCTTTTAATGCCATGTAAAAATTTCAAAACAGTAAAGAAATATTTTGTAAAAGGAAGTATGTATAAGTCATTAAAAAGGCCTCTAAAAACACCTCTTATAAAAGTTATCTCTCTTTACAAAATTATTTTTTGGTAAAGTGATTGTGTAAAATAATTTGAGAACTGTATTTTTGATATGATTTCTGGGTACTTGCATGTTATCGCAACCACCCTAGCAGAAGTTGCCAAATTTTCAGAATGTGCCGAATTCCAGCAACTATATGCATGACCACTCTTCAGGCAACCATTCCAATAACAATTCATCACTCAAGCAAGGTCACCATTTTCATGTGGATTCTTTTTGCTGTATTCCAAATTTCAGTGGTTTTTTATAAACACACTATGATATTTTTTGCTTTAAGCTTTAAGCATGAAAATGGTGACTTTGCTTCTTGACTTTCATTTTTGGAAAAAATTTTGGTGACACAAAATCTCTACAGGGAATAATGGGAAAATGTGTTTGGTAGATAGGCGGAGTTGTCGAGGTTTGCGTGATGAATCTGTGTAATTCTTTGATGTTTATTTAAGCAAAAACAGATCACTGTACACATGGGGAAAAGAACTACAGAAAGATTTGAAGATATTTTTTTTTTTTTTATGTATTATGAAATCCTTATTTAACAACTAAAATTTGTACTTCAAATTGCTAAAAGCGTTTACCATTTCGTCCATAAAAAATTGTCAAGGTGGCTACGTTAATACATAAGTACCGATTTCTGTTATAATTTTAGATTCTAGTTATTGTAAATTTTTAATATTATAATTTCAGATTCTGCTTAGACTCATGAATAAAACATTACATTTATTATTCCATTTTCTTCTTTATTACATAATTCAGTGTGAAAATATCAGTTATAATAAATTTAGCAGCTTTATTCAGAACGTAAATATTGGTGACAGGTGAAATAGTTTCAAGTTTTAATATCGGTTGTGAATTATACTTAACAATAGAGATTTAGTATACATTGATTTAAAACTTTACTCTACCTAAAAGTAAGATTTATTTATTCATGGATTTCTGTAGGTTAATATTAACTTCTTGACTTCATTTTTGTCAGTGAACAGATCTAGATTTTTGAACTGTTTTCGGAGTGAGCTATAATTCAACAAAACTAGCTGTCTGTTTAGCAGAACATTTTCTCTTGAAAGCTTACTTTCAGTTAAATTATGGTAAATTCCTGTTAAATTAATCTTTATTTAAAGAATTGGTAGTTTAAGGGACAGACATGAGTTTCCTCTTGTTGTACACAGCAAAAATATATTGTTGTTATTGCCATTTTGATTTTGAGTTCTGAGTGGGTTCTTGCATTTCATGTAATTTTTTTAAAATTATTTATTTATTTGGTATTCTTAGGGTTACTACATATTTAATATATAGCTTGGATGATTCATGTTTAAAATGTCCTGCTCATGTTCATACTTTACAGCAATAAAATTAACAGAATGCCCATATTTTTAATGTTGATGTATTAACAATTTTTGTAATGAATATTGCACAAAATAGTTTTTCTTTTAATTTTATTTTAATACTTTATTTGCGGATGCCTAAAACAGGTTAGGAATTAAATTTATGCTTTTCCTGCCTAACAGAATATGTGCTAAGCAGTCTTGACTTCAATCAATGGGAATTTGATGATTCAACAAATGCGATAACAGATTTTTTTAACCAACATTTTTATTTAAACTCTTTAAAAGTGTAATAGTGTATTAAATGTTTTATAATATGTTTAGAAATTGAGTGAATAGGAAGGATATAAAAAAATCTAATATTTATTCAAGCTTTCGATAAGATCTGAGAAAGAAAGTTTCGGGAGAACCGACATTTGATTGTTGATTTTGGAAATTCTTATCTCCTGATCTAATATCTTCTAATTTCTTCTGGGGGCCTGCTGAAAGGGAAAGTGTAAAAAACTAAATTCTAGCCAGTTAACGCAAAGACTCCATGTGCCAAGAGATTCAAAATACTGAACATCAATACTGTGAGGAAAACATTCCTGAATTTGGAGAAACGCATAAGAAACCATTTTGACTATTGATTATGAACATGTTCTATTTTGGATTATTAAAGGTATATAAATTTTTTATACTTTCTGATTATCTGCCCCTACATCGAAGAGTCATGAACTCGTTGGCGACTTTTGAAAGAAATGCTGTTTGGGCATCTTTACATTGTTTTGAGTAATGCATCAAGTGCTGCCTGTTTTTTTATATTGTTTTTTCCTCTCATACAAGAGACACAAACTTCCTGCTTTTTTGTACTGTTTTTCTCCCTGTGTACACAGTGATCTGTTTTCACTGAAAGAAATCGGAGAATTGCACAAATTTAGCATCGGTCAGAACTTTAGCATCATACACATCCACAACACCAAAATCATAAAATGAGAAGATGTTGCTCTGTCGGCACATGTTGCTCTGTTTGTGCAGAAAGCTAAGTCTGACATTTTACCGAAGACAATAAAACTACAATATGCATTTTGCTGCTGTGCTAAAATGCTGATATTCCCATAGCAGAGATCAAAATCAGCAGTCATACTGATGAAAATATCTGAAGAAGTAAGAAGCCATCTCGAAGGTTACTGCATAAATGCTTTTGGTGACGACAAATATTTTTTGTGACATGGTGCTTTGCCTTAGCTTTTTGGCAGGGATATGGATGATCAAGAAAATATCAAATTTTTTAAATCATTCTCTCAATAAGATAATTTTTAAAGACAGTTGTTTGCAGTTTCTAGTGAGAGAATTGTCTTACATTTCAAATTATTTTCATCTGTTTGCTTCTAAAATTGTTTAATAATTTTGATAAATGTTTTTAGTACTTATATAATATCTATTCGACTGTGAAACTATTGACAAGCAGTACAGTTTAGCTCATTACGGATAAGAATGATGTTACAGTGCACTTATAGCATCCATGCTTTGGTTTGATTCCCGATAAACTACATTACGGTTTTGTACAATTACCCATGGACGCATGTCTAATTGTAATTCTTGTGAATACAGATGTAAATTAACTGTTAACTTATTATCGCTATATTTTCCCCTTGCATTTTCAAACAAATGGTTAAAATTTAGGGCCTGCCTTCTACAGAACAACAAGCAGTGGGTTATTAGTCCAAAGGGATTTCAGTCCCAAAGGACTATTGCTTTCGTTTTGGCATTTTGCGTCGGACTCATAAACGTCGGTTCACTTTTCAAACTGTTGCCACAAAATGTTGGAGTCCTGCATTATATTTGAAGAAATTAAATAATGAAAAATCTGCATAAATGATTGTCTATTTCTCGCATTGTGATAAAACAATGGTACATAGAGCCATCGAATTTTGAATGACGAAATCCTACTGCGAATATGGGCATCTGAAATCCCAAATTTGGAATTTGTTTTATTATAGATTTTCATATTTTGTAAAACTTTAACGAATTTTTGATTTACAAACTCAATGATTTCAAAGCGAGCAATGGCAACGTTTATATAGAAAAAAAATACTTTTTATCTCCAGCTCGCGAGACTGTGTATATCGGAAATTCTAAAGATATGCTTAATTTAAACATTATTTTTGCGATATTGCTCTTGAACTGAATTTTATGGTTTAAGTGCAAAGAACATGATATTTAATAAATAAAGGTAACACTCAAAACGTTAAAAAAACGCCCCTTTGGACGTAATTTAAAATCTGAAATTTTCAGTTTTTTTTTTTTTTTTTTTTTTTTTTTTTTTTTTTTTTTTTTTTTTCAAAGTCATTTGATACTACGATCAAAAAAAAAAAAAAAAAAACGTATTTATTAATGGACTGCTACATAAGGCCAACAAAACAGTAATAAATTGGAACAGTTACCTGCAAGAAATTTGTACTCATAGTGTTCTAAACTGAGCTTTCGGTAAAATCAGAGCCTAACAAAATAGTAGAAATTGACGAAAACTTTTGTGTGCAATGTGGTTTCTTTTCTGAAGCACAGAAACAATATGTGTCAAATACTGATTGTTCAATAAACTCATATTAATTATTTCAGAATTCTGCAGGAATGATTGGCATAATTTTTGAGGAATCTCTGCCAACTTTCATGATTGAATGGTAATCAACTTTTTGCTATTTGGGTTAGCTAATTATTAAAGAGGGAAAAAAAAACTAATTTGTAATGAGAAAGGCTATGAAACTTTTGATTCTGTTGATATATATGAAATATTTTTCATTACTGCATTTTTAAAAAGTGCAAATACTTTGAACATAACAAAAATATAGTGTTAACTTTCTTTTTGTTTTAATGATTAATTAAAGATGTTCTAAAAAGTCACTTTCATATTGTCATTGTTTTTCAACTTCTCTTTTTCCCCCCTCTCAGGAATAGGAATGATTAGGTGATAATTATTGTGTTTTGAAATGAAAAATGTGCCAGAAAGTCAAATCCTCCATTGTGGAGAAACAAACTCAAGACATATATGGGAACCACTTACGGTTTTGTACAATTACCCATGGACACATGTCTAATTGTAAAGAATATGTCATTCACAAAGAAGCATTTAATTTCAAGCGTTGGGTTGTGTTCATGACAATATTTAGCAGTCTTGCTTTTTATTGTAAATTTTATAATACGGTAAGTATTCATCTTTATGCTATACTTTACTTTGATAAAAGGCGTAATATTTTGTAATGTTTAGCTTTATTATTTTTTCTTTATTTCCAGTTTAATTACTGTGTAATTTTAAGCTTTATATGTATTTTGCTGTAAACATTTATTTTTGTTTTGTAGCTTTTTATATGAATTGATTTTCTAATAATAATTAAAAGAACAGTTGCCAAACACTTCATTACAAATCATTTTAAGTAGATATTTATTGGTTTAATCCATCTGTCCATATTAAAATAGCAAAATTTGCATATGAATTTGTAATTCAATAACTAAACAAGCATATTAATACTTTGGAAGTTTTTCGATATTAATATATTTCATTCTATATTAATTTATGCAAAAAGGTGTTCTATTAGAGAAGAATTATATGAAATTACGTTTTGATTTATGCAGCCAGTAATTTTAATTTTAAATGCAAAGTAAACAAAGATGAGGAATTTTTGTGTGCAATAGAATTGTATTTCAAAGCAACAGCTCTGCTAATCATCAAAATTTTGTCAAGCTGATGCAAAACATAAAAGGATAGTCACTACTTTTTTCTTTTTTAATTTTTGAATTATATGTAAAAGAAATTGAAAAAACTTTATTATTTATGCTTTTAATAATAAATGTGCTAGTTATGAATGCATCATCTTAAAATGTCGGAATTAATCTATGACTTTTTTGGCTCTTTTGAAGAATATAGAAAGATGGATGACAAAATATTTCCTTTCAAATTAAATTTACTAAATCTTTGGTGATATTATTTATTAAATGTTTGATAGATATGGGTTGAGGAAAAATATATTAATAATCATTGCAGGCTGTAGGAAAATTGTGAATTTCATGTATATCTATTAGACTTTATGCTGAGAAAATTGTAGTTGGTAAAACTGAAATTTTCAATTCATGGATGGTTTTCATTGCAATCCATTAACTAGTTTGGTTTGATATGATGACTAGTCTGATAGATTCAAATGTAACCCCAAAATTTTCCATGCACAACTCTAAGATTTACTTTTGTGTTTGATTATTTTTTTATTGTTTTTTATGAGACTTCATACATAGAATATGCTAATATTCTTTATTTTATCTTTATAATTTATATTACTTTATATTTATTTTACTTTATATTATTTATCTGAATTTTATTACTTTATATTAATTTATCTGAAATGTGTATATTTTGTATGTGTAATGAGTTTTAGAACTAAAATAACTTGATTAGTTGAAATAATAAAGTTAGTATTTTGATACAAAAAAAAAAAAAAAAAAAGATATGTCATAATTTTTATAGTTCGACCGCCTCATCTGCGACCATGAGCGCAAACACGCATGCGCCATTCAGACTGAATTATTCTCAAAATAGGGTGGAAGGATGGGGACTTTCTTTCCCTCCAGCATAGCTCTTTCTGGAGAAGAGAAGACCTTTCACATCGCAGCAAGTAATACCGCCCCTTTTGGGTGAGTCTATGTGTTTTGGCAGAATGCCAACCAGGATTGTGCTTGAGACGGTCGAACTATATACGTGTATACAATTATGTAATGCATGCATAGCTAATAAAATTTTAAAATGTGTTTTAGCCACTGTTTTTTTTATGAATTTAAATCTTTTTCTACTCGTATTCAAAGCCTGTCTTTTGCTTTGTTTAGGTATGTTTGAAATATTTTTCCTGTAATGCTGTTCTGCAGATCTTCCCTTTTTTTTTCTGTTGCAGGAATGTAATAAACTTTTACTTGTTAAATTTCACTTCCTGTGTATGAATATACACTTTATTTTCTAAGATTGGCTCTTATTTAGAAGTTACTACAAAATTCAAGTTACATTTTAGCATCAATAAGAAGAGAAGCATGACAAACTTAAAATTAGGCAAAACAGCAACCTTGTGTATAGCATAGATTTTTATTGGTATAATATACGTTTGACTGCTCCAAGATGCAATAATTAATGTGATTTATTTCCCTTATTAGCTTTTGTTCACTTGTCAGAGCTTTATGTGATGTAATGTATTGTTGCGTGCGTACGGGTTCGTTATGAAATGAATGCATAAGTCCGATGCAAAATGAACAAAAATTTATTATTATCACAACAAAAATGCTTAAATCTTCTCAAATTATCATGCAGTATTACAATACCTCACAGTAGTTATCTTTTAACTACTCAAATGTCCAATAGAACATAATTCAAAACAGCTAAAGAACGCTAATCCGCGAATTCGCTATAATCGACAAGAGCAGTTTTCTAAACAACAACAAACTAAGCAACTACTACAAACTGAGATGTTTTCCTCCTTTTATAAGATTTTAAATCACGCGCTAGAATTTTTCCAGTACTTTTCTCGAAATCAAAAGAGATATTTATTTATTTAATGCACGCGCTCTTGTATTTTCAATTTTCCGGCTTAGCTTTTTTTAATATTCGTCACGCGCTGCACTGCGCGAGAAATAAAACCATTTAATTTATAATTGAACTAACATTAGCTTTTCAAATACCAAATTCGTAACAGTATGATCCTGGCAGTCTGCCAATGTTAGCTCTGAACTTTAGTTGGAATATTGATTGCTGTCATGTAAATGCTGCTTTTCCATTCTTTGAATAAATGTAATATTAATCCACTGTGCATGAAGGTAATCTCAGTAATTTAAATTCAAACTGTATGATTCCAAGGCAAACAGGTGCATGTGCCTCTTCACCAGGGGCAAAAAAATTTTGCAAGGAAGGGAGGAGCCATGACCATATTTATACAAAATCAAAGGGCAGAGCAAAGTGAACATAAGAAACATTAAGAAATAAACCTGTTTATTTCTTCTTTTAGAACAAAATTTGTGTTCCTTGATGCAAAATTTTAATGCTGATTAGTGTGGCCAGTATATCTCAAACCACATTGACAAGGTGTATTATAAATTCCCCAAAAATTAAAATCAGAAATGGAAACTGTAAGAAAATCAAAGAATGGATTTTATTGATAAATGAGAAAGTGACTTGAAAGTTGAACATGGGAAGAATTCACACTGTTTTTTAACTGGTAAAAGGATGAAATGGAATGACAATAAGGTTATTAATATTATTTATATGGTAAAAAGGCAGGATGAAAATTCTTTAAAGGCTTTATCAATGAACACGAGAGAAAATCCTCTGTGAATGGTAACTTATTTCAAATAATTGAGTTTGTTTGAAAGGAAAGCTTCTGAAGAGCAAACTTTGAGAACATAATATACATACATAAAAGTAAAAAGAAGCCTTTTTCCTTTAGCCAGGATACATGCTTTAGCATGGGGAGGTAAACAAACAGAAAAAGGGTTGTTTACAGGAAATAGTGAAATTCATTTTTTAAAGTGAACTGGATGGCTAGATCAGTTGAATTTATAACAATTAAAATCCAGGATAAATCTTCTTTATTACCATTAAAAAAACACAAAAATGTCATCTGTGTAGTAGATCCAAAGATGAAAAGATAGTTCCTCAAATAATTTTATCTCAAAATAATGCATGTAAATGTCAGCAAGTACAGGACTGAGGGGATTACCCATATTTAATCCTTCAATTTGGCAGTAATATTTATTTTTGAAAATGAAGTGGATTTGGCTGTAAGAAACTTTAGTAAGAGAAATTAACTCCGGAATTTCAGTGTGTGTGAAATGAAATTCTTTACTCCTTGAACTGGAGTAAAGAATGATTTACCATCAAAAGAAACTATAATTGAGTGCTGGCGAGAAATATCTTGAAGTTTATTAACAACTTCCAAAGATTTTTTTACAGTATAAATGTTGTTAGAAAGTAAAAGGGAAAATCTAGAAATTAAGTAGTTGGCCAAAGGATATGATGCTGTTCCTAAGTAAAAAAATTATAGGTCAAAAAGGTATATCAATTTTGTTAACTTCTGGAACAGCATAAAACTTAGTTACCAGTGGGTGGAATGGGTAATTTTTTTAAAACTGAGTTGGAAGTATATCAGAAGATTTAACAGCTATTTTAACTTTCATGAGGATAGAAGATTGAGCAGTATGGGCCTTTGTTTATCAGTTTCATGTCTCCATCTATGTAAGTGTTTTTGCCTGTAACAATAATCTTCTCATTCTTATCAGCAGTCTTATCAGCTCATACTTCGAGGATTCAGCATGATTGAAAAAAAAAGAATAAAATAAACTTTTCCATAATAAATTTCATCTCCTAAATATGAATATGCACTTTATTTATAAGATATATAATATATATATTTATAAATTAATATATATATATTATGTATATTTATTTTTAAGATTAGCTTCTGTTTGGAAGTTACAACAGAAATAAAAAAATGACATTTTTCTTGTACAAGACAGTGTAGTAGATAATATCAAAACACTAATGAATGTTTGAACAAACCATTGAAAATTTTTAAAATGTGAAAACACCTTTGCATTTTAGCTTATCATTTGTAGTTAACTTGTACTACATCATTTCTTATCATTGTAACAGAAATTGGCTACCATCACTGCAAGTAAGCAAAGAAATTTGCTGCATTAGTATTCAAATGTCAGACCATCTTTCAGCAATACTTTCATAAAGTTCTTTTTTAAATTCCAGTTGTATATGAAATGAGAGGAGCAATATCTAATATGGATGTCAATCTTACTTTTTGTAGTGTAAATCTCTGGCATGATTGTTTCATTCAGGGAATGCAAGTATTTTGTGTAACTGTGCAGTAAATCCAGCAAAACCGCAATAACCTTAAAGTCACAGCAAATGTGCCATCCAAATCTGGCATGTTCTGAATAATTTCTTTTATGCTATCATAAATTTAATTTAAATCAGACGATTATTTATATTCCTGATTAAAATTACAATTGCTATCTTAATGATTACCTTTTGTATTTTTCCACAATAATTTCCACACCTTTAGTGTAACATTGCCAGATGCTCAGCAGTCAGTTGGTTTTATTATATAGTCCGATTGTGATAGATAATGCAAACCTTCTCTTCTGTACTTACCAAAAACTTAAAATTATATGCATTGCACATAATTTTTAGAGTGTAAAGGTTAAGAGCACAAAATCCAGAGAAGAATTAATGTTTCAAGTAAAGAAAAATTTGATAGATATAATTCAATATACTTTTAAAAATTCTCTCAGAGAACTTGAACCATTTCTAAATTAATTAATTACCGTATTTGCTGGCAAATAAGATGCACCGGCCTATAAGACACCCCCTTTTTATACACATTTTATTATTAATCGATATAATGAATTTACAGTATTTTAAATATAAAGTAATAAAAATACAAAGTAATACTTTCTGCAAATACCCAGTCTATCTGGAAAAGAACACCTTTTAATCTTCTTCGTCAAAACCCAGACACTCATCTCCAGAGCTAAATGCTTTGGAGATGAGTGTCTGATGAAGATGCTCAACATCTTCTAAATCATCATCCCAGTTCTCATACATTTATGAAGTGGGTTTTGTTAAATTGTCCTCTGTACCATACTAATGCCACACTTCTTAAATGATTTAACCACTGTCTCTGTTTTCACAGCATCCCATGAAGCTTCAACATATAATATGCAGTAACGACATATAAGACACACCCTGTTTTTCAGACCTATTTTCAAAGGAAAAAGGTGTGTCTTATACGCCGGCAAATACAGTAATACTTTGGTAACTATTATAATTGTTTTTTTTCTATTAATAAATAATAAAAAAAATTGAAAGGTTTCAGATTTTGAATTACGTCCAAAGGGACATTTTTTTAACATTTTGTGTGTTACATTTATTTATTAAATATCATGTTCATCGCACTTAAACCATAAAATTCAGTTCAACAGCAATATTGCAAAATAGTTTTAAAATGAGCATATTTTTAGAATTTTCGATACAGAGACTCACGCGCTGGAGATAAAAATGTTTTTTATGTACAACGTTTCATAGCTTGCTTGCTGGCTTTTCATGGCTTCCTTGAGTTTGTTAAACAAAAATTCGTTAAAGTTTTGCAATGTATGAAATTGATAATGAAACAAATTCTAAATTTCAAAGTTGGTCTTCCATATGCCCATATTCATAGGAGGATTACGTCATTCAAAATTCAATGGTTCTATGTACCATTGTTTCATCACAATGCAAGAAATATACATACATTTATGCAGATTTTTCATCATTTAATTTCTTCAATTATAATGCAGAACTCTAACATTTGGTGGCAACAGTTTGAAAAGTGAAACGGACATTTATAGTGATTCAACACAAAATCGCAAAATGAAAACAATAGTCCTTCAGGGACAAAGCCTCTTTGGACTAATAATACTCAACCTATAATTTCTGATAGGATACTCAACCTATCAGAATCATTCTAGGTCTTAGTTTAACATTCAGTAAGTGCAGAAAAATTAATTAACTCTACTGATAGGCAGATAGCACAGCTTACAATAATGCAAATGGCCATAATGTACAATGTTGTCGCTGTAGATATTTAGCATACTGTAAACACAGTGAGCATTTTAAGTATTTAAAATGAATGTGTGTGTTTTTTAAATGATTTTTTATTTTGTTATAAGAACCACTTAACTGCATTAAATTTAAGGTATAAAAATGTCATTTGTTATTTAGGACATTCTTTAGGTAATAGATTGCCTGCTTTCTTTAGTACAATTTGTTGTAATGGACATGCAGCATAATATTCTGTTAACCGTATGAATATCTCCAATGTTCTTCAGCTCACTTACATCTGACTATAAGTTTTAATGTCCTGGATCTGAGCATAAGTAATATTACTGTTTTTTTTTAATATCTACTCCACGAGTATAATTTTTAATAAGTTCACACTGTGACAATTTGGCTACAGTAATCTCATTTTGCTAATATTACCTTCTTGAATTCATTATACCATCAACAAACTGTGGTTTTGTTTAAATTGGAAAAAACTATTAAAAGCATTATGTAAACACTTACCATTCATTTAACCTAGTTTTAAAAGTATTCAAAATCATGGCGTGAAAATGCCGAAAATTAAGCTCTAGTAGTGTTCTGAAATTCTCAGTTAGACACCATTAGACACCATCAGACAAGACACAATAGTCTTGTCTAATGGTGGCTGGTAATGAATCTTTGTTTGCATGTTGTGCTATAAAATATTTTCTCTGCATGAAGCATAAGCTGTAATATGTCTTATGTCACTTAGTGATAAAAAAATACTTTATGTTCGGATTGTCAAAACTTTCAGAATGACTGACTAGTTAACTAAAAGAGGTACTGTAATTGTTCAGAGATCTAACCATGAGATTTGTGCAGTGTTTTTAGAACTCTTTCAAAAATGTTTTGAAAGACTTTTAGATATATTTTAGAATATTCAAGGAGAGAGGTGATATGTAAATTCCATCTTGCTGTCTTTCAAAACACTTACCATGGCATTGGATTTTTTTATGCAAGCTTTGTCATCATCAGATGAAAGTGATTAAGACTTACCTTTCCCTTAACTCTTCAAGTGCACATTTTGAGAGTATTGGAAAGTGGGGTAGCTATCAAGTTAAACGTTTTCCTTCTGGCAATCATATTTTTATTTATTTTATAGGTTGATTTTTGTTATATGTGCACTCAGAAGTCTTTTGTACAACTTGTGAATAAAAACTGAAGTAAATAAATTGTATAAATTTATATTTGTGTATTGTTCACTAAGGAAATTTCCTTTGTATATTACCATGTTACTTCATATGTACCAGAGTAAAAAATTAGTACACAATTGTTCAGAAGCGTTCCGTAAAACATGAATATTTTCTTTACAGGATGTTAGTTTTCTAGGCCTGTTTCTGTGCTTTCTGTGTGTGATATTAGTTTTAAAGTTACACCATAAAGTAAAACAAGGTATATATGATTATCTTATTTTTTTATTTAAAACAAAATGTTTAGGAAAAATTTATAAGAATTTTTATGTTATTTATCATTTTGCCAGAATTATTCCAGTATTTATTCTTTTTTCCTCCAGAATCTTTACTGGTAATTGCATCTCTAGGACTCCAGTTAACTACTACTTTTGTAACTGGTAGAAAAGCATCGCAGTTCATTCTTCAGCAAGATATCCAAGATGTTGTTATAAATGAAGGAATTTTCATGGTAAGTGAAGGAAAATTGATTCTTTACTATATCACAAATTGATTGCTAGTTTAATGTCAAAAACATTATTTTTGTTATACAGTCAAAAGTCGTTAGTTCGGACACCCATAATCCGGAATGATTTATAATCCGGACCTCAAAGCTAAAAACTTTCTGCGCATGCGCCGCGTTGCACACGCGCACAGGTGTTTTACGCGTGCGCGTAAGACCTTGACTACTGCGCACATGCGTGTGCGCAAGTGCAGAAATACGTTTTTTCGCCTACGCGTTTAATGTATAACGGAGGTGTTAAGCTAAATTATCTAATTATCTATTTCAGTTAATGTTAATGATTGCATTGTTCCTTAATCTTCGAATTGGATCCCGCTTATTATTTTTGCAGACTGTAAGAGCGTTTTATAAAAGTAAACTTGAACTTTCGATTATGTCAAATAGAATTTCCGATGTTGGAACTTCCAAAGGATCTACAAAACTAAAGTATGTTTCGATGTCCAACAAACAAAATTGAATTGCTGCAAAAAATGGATTAACGACATGAAGAATGTGACAGAGAGGTTAGTGAAAACGAAAAATTTCGATTGACAAGTTAGTCGGTATTCTCGCACAGCAATTAACGGGACTTGAAGAGCGAGACTTTGTAACTGAACAAGAAATTATGTCTGTTTATAGAATTAAAAAGAAAGTATTCTTATCACATAAAATGAAGCAACTTAAACAACTTACATTGAAAGAAATGTTTAATAAAGTACACAAATAAATATTAAGCTTTTTTTTTTTTTTTTTTTTTTTTTTTTTTTTTTTTTTTTTTTAAATTTTGATACCCTTTAGATCATAATTGTTCTTTATTTCATAAATTTTAAACTGATTTAAACTGATGATCTATAATCCGGAATAGCCGAAGTCCCGACGAGTCCGGATTAACGACTTTTGACTGTACATGTATTTATGTATATAAATAAATAGTATTAGAAGACACTGAGAGGTTTTTGGAGAAGATGCAATATTCAAACGAGATGTATTTTATGCATGCAAAAATTGTATACTTTAAACCTGTACTTTTACGCCACTTAACGAAGCATAACTTTTTATTTTATATGGACAAAAATTTGAAAATAAAGAAATTATAAAAATTCCTCTCGGGTTTCCCTCTAAATTATTTATAATAAGTGTGTAAAATTATGTGAATTAGTATTATATAGAAATGTGAATAAAGTTTTGGAAGATATGAGGATGAATTTAAAAAAAAAAAAAAGTTTTCATTTTTTTATATAAAAATGAATCTGGTTAGCACAGTCTTAGTTTTGTCATCTACTCATATATGTTGTGGAGTTCATATGGAAAGTCTTTATCATTCAATTTGTTTGTTATTTATATTTAGAAAACTGTAGTATTACTGTTAGATCCTCATTCTACAGTATTACTCTATTTAGTTTTAAGATATTTCAGAAGTACTATAACGCAATTGGTTTCTAGACAATAAAAATTAATCATACAGATATTGTATCAAAATATTTATGTGGTAATTACCACCAGAATTAAATTAATGTGGAGGTTAACAGATTTTTCTGTAAGAATTCCTTTGTTTGTAAGTGCATGTGTATGTTAACCTTTTGATGGTCATAAATGAGCTCACCTCGCATTCCAGTTAGACACCGCAGTGGAAGCAAGCCAACAAGCTTGCATTTCAAATTTACGACTGCAGTTATCGTATGTATTCGTGAGGAAAGACTTGCTTAATCTCACAACCACTGAAGGAATATCCCTCTTTTATTATTATTTTGTTTATTAATCCATTGTAGTCATCAACAAGCCTAGCATATTCAAGGTAAACATTACAATACAAAAAAAAAAAAAAAAAAAAAAAAAAAAAAAAAATGTGTTTAATTAACCTGAATGATTTCTGCTTATAGGGACACAGATATTTTCTGCTTGAGAAACTGACACTTATCACGTACCTATAGTTGAGCAGACTTCATTCCTTGAAAATTGCCAGTGTTCTGGTATCCAAGAACCAATCCAAGAACTTATTGGTAGGAATTAAATAGCTTAATTTAGTTCCTAGTTTCCCATCCATTTTTCGTTTACCATAACCCAGCATTTTTCACAGCATTAATTTCAGTACCATGTTATGCTATTCATGGCACTTTTAAAAGCAACACTAAGTAATATTTAACATTTCACATTGTGGTGTAGTGGTCGAAACCGCTATGCAAATCCTGGGTTGTGTCATCAGGTTGAAAACAAAACACAGCATAATAAAATTTATTGAAACGCAAAAAAAAAAAAAAAAAAAAAAGGCTACATACAATTCGACAAGAGAGAAAACTATCTCTCTCAAAAATCAAATTCTATACATTTTACGTGCGAGAGCAATTCGTGGCTCTCGAACTTGCGTTTTTAACATTGCCAACGATTTAATTATTTTAATAAAGACTATTTTAACAACTATTGAAAACGTGTTTGTAAGTTAAAAAATAATAAATTTCAGCTTATTCTCACGAGACATCCTTGTCCATATTAATCTTCAGTCTCTTCTTCTTTTATGTGACCTTATCACAACATGCTCATCTGATGAGTTGTCAAACCTGCTATTTCAGTATTCTAATCACGTCAGTCCTAACCACCGTATGACAAAAAAAAATGGGCACCACCGTATGACAAAAAAAAAAAAAAAAAAAAAAATAGTGTTAAAATGTGCAGCAAGGTGCTGAAGATAGCAACCGTGTTATCAGCTAAGCCATCTCATTTTTATGACTGAAATTGAGCCGCCTTTTTTTAGAATTGCACAAAACATAATTTTATGGATGGTTTTCTTTGTATAAATTATTTGAATAAAAGCATGTTTTATGAGAGTGGAAAGAAAAGAAAATGGATTTCACAATCTGAGATTTTCCTAAAGTTGAGAAGGAAGCGGTGAAATTACTGCAGGATAAAAAGGAATTCTTCATAGGCAAAAATTTTGTAAAAATAATCATGAAATGATGTTGTGTTTTACCAGTTACGATACACCAAACTGGCATTACAACTTTCCAACTTGCCGAGAAAAAATAGGTATCAGATCTTGGTTTCACTTGGTTTGAAAGATCATGCCTAAATTTCCTTACATCTGTAAAATTGATCTCTGTTGGTGCTGTTGATTTGGGTTGAGTTTTGTAATATGCAACTGAAAATGAACCACAATACAGTCATCGATTGGAACAATCATATGCAGGAGGTTTGTGCTCATGCCTTGCTTGAAGTTAAAATTGGCAGAAAAACCAGAATGGTGGAGATTAACAAAAGTCTTTTTACAAAAAGGAAGAGTAACTTTGGACGTGTTCTTCCTACACAGTGGGTTTTTGGAGGCATGTGTAGAGAAACAAAAGAATGTTTTCTTGTAACTGTTTTGGATTTCTCAGCTAAACCTTTATTTTGTGCTACTAAAAAAAATATCGCACATGGTTGTGAAATTTTTTCCTGATTGCTGGAAAGTATGCAAAACAGAAAATTTGAAAGAAGCAGAAAATGATCATCTTGCAGTTAATCACAAATAACAATTTCATAGATCAAATTATATGAAAAAAAATTGAAAGAATATGGGGGAGTGCAAAATGGCATAATAAACACCAGCATAGCACCTCATACCACCATCTTGAATCATATTTATTAGAGTTTTTGTGACCATGATTACATAAAACAAAAACAATTTTTTTCCCAAAATGTTGCAAGACATCTCTATGTTCATGCTCCCCATTCAAATTTAAATTATGTTTCATTTCTAATAAATTTAAAATTTATTAATGTTGTTGTAATAAAAATATCTTATGTTTTTTTCTTTGTGCCCATCTGATGAAAAAAAATCTGTTAATACATTTGTTATTTATTACTAATTGCACTTCAATTTCTTCCCTCTGTAAAATTCAATTTCAGTTTCATTTTTTATATACAGTAATTAAAATTGATTTCATATTTACTAGAAATTTCAGTTTTTTGAACATGAGATTATGTGTATTGTAACAGCTTTAAACATTGCTCTTAAAATCTTGTATAATTTAAATAGATGAACATTAATGTATATGTTAACAGCAATGTTTGAAACGCAGGCTCTCGCATGAAGAATTTAATTATTTTTAATTTTTAAAAAGTTAGAATATGTTTTCCCTTCTTGTTTGCATGGCACCTTTTTTCCTGAGTGTATCTTTCATCTTGTGATATTATAATATTAAATGAAGTCTTTGCTGTGTTCTATCAATGGAGTTTGCTTCAACTGTGAAAGAAGTATCACAGTACACTGCATAGATTATTATTGAAAATATTGATCAATCTAATTTTTTACAAAATGTAAAATTACAGAATCTTATAGAAATCGTGTTCTAGAAAACACTGGCAGTATCAGTATACTTAGTAAATATGTAATATTTTTTGCATCAATTAAAAACGAAAAATATTTGTATTGTACTTTAATTAATTTTGCAATTGCCAGAGCATCATTCTAAAGTAATAAAACTTCATATAAATATTAATATTATATTTTTAGAGTGATAAATTACTTGTGTGAAAATTCTTTGTAAAAAAATTCTAAATAAAGACACATAAAACATTAAATGAAATTTGAATGGGGGAAAATCAGCTTCGAATCAGTGTAATTTATATATTAACTGATTCATCAATGCAAATTCAAAATGGAAATTAAGTATCTCGGCTGGTTAACTTTTTGGGGGGCAGGATGAGGATCACCTCTTTCATATATATATATAAGCATTACAAAATTTTCCCAAATATAAGAGTAGGGACTGAAAAAATGTGTGAAGTTAGATTTTGTATTTTATACAAAATTAATTTCTGTTACTTTAGATACAGGAAAACGTGAATTTTTGTGTCACGTAAAACATTTTGTTGTGAAAGTATAGGCTGAGTAAAGACTTTTGTAGACATGGTGTATATTGTCATTAGAAAAATAAAATTAATTCTTTCTTTAAAATGCCATTTCTAAGCCTATTCATGTGCTTACATCTTCTTATTATATATTTTATTAATTGTTAGGTTTGTATTTGTCTACTTGAAGTTTTGTTATGCATTTTGTATTCTTTTACTTTTCTTTTTGCAGCACAGAGTATTGTTTTATTTAGCTGTTTTACTCAGAGATGTTAAAGACCCAACTAATCTTAAATGTTTAATTCCTTTGTTTAAGGTATGTATTTTATTTTAAATATGTTTAAATAGGATACAATCAATTAATTATATTAAAAAATTTTCTATTTTAAATCAAATAATATAATCAAATATGTGTGATATATTTTAAAATTTTATTTAAAATGCAACATTTATGAATCAGAAGGCTCTACGAGATCTTATCCATGGCTCTACCAGAATTTGCTCAGTGGACCAACTGATTATTTTGTATTTTCTGTGGAGCATTTTATTGGTACATTTTTGTGTTTTAATCCAAGACATATAGGAAACAACTACAATGTCTTTTGCCATCTTTTATATCTGGTTGTAATAAAAGTTTTCTACCAAAAAAATTTTCTTAAGAAAGTTATGGAAAAAAACATGAAAAGCAGTACCTTTAGTGTAGGTAATAATCACCACACAAATCTGTGATTCTCTGCCAACATTTTGGTAGTTTTTCAAAGCCTTTGGTCCGCAAACTTGGTGGCCACAAGTCCAAAAGCAGATCAACTTCATTTTGGATGTCCTGTGCAGAATGGAAGATAAAGCCAGCAAGATGTTGCTGCAGTTGTGAAAAAAGGTAGAAGTGCAAAGGAGCAGTTTCAGGACTATATGATGGGTGTGGCAAAAGATCCTATTCGGGTCCTTACAGAGTCCAACCGGTGAATGCAGACACATGTAGTCTTGCATTATTTTAATGGAACGCTACCTTTTTGTGCCGGAACTCGGTTCAATGTTTCTCCTTGACAGCAGCATCAACACGGACTAGCATTCCGCTGTACACTTTACTGTCGAGGGTTTTACCTTTTTCCAAGTACTCTTTGTGGATAATATCACAGCAATCCCACCAGGCTCAAAGCATGATCTTTTCGTTAGTCGAACGGTGCCTTGTGGCACTGTCAACGGGCTCATCGGGTGCAGACCAACCCCAGTTTTCATCACAAGTGACGATCCGGTCCAGAATTTCATCCTTGCATTGATATTCAAGCAGATTAGTGGAAGCTGAAACGCATTGTTCTTATCTGCTTTAGTCAGCTCAACTGGCACCCAGTGATTGAACTTGTACGTCAAGTTTATGCGATGCATAATGCAACTAACGGACATGGCACCAATGCTTAACTCCTTAGCAGGCTCTTGAATGGTTGCATACTTGATCTTCTTCCACAAGTTCTCGCAGGTGGCCCTCATCAACATCAATAGGCTGGCCAGTTCAGTAAGCTGGCTTTGCTTCTTGAATGTCATAGTCCTTGTTTTTCAACTTTCAGTACCAAACCTTCATAGTGTCATAAGCAATAGTACATTAGAACCTAAAGCTGTATGCATGATTTGGTGACATTCTGTAGCTGACCTTTCTGCTATAGAACTCGAAGTAAATGATGGTTCTAATTTGATATTTCCATTTCAGACACCTTGTACTTAATGATAATGATATTTATTTACGAATTTCACGGTGTTCTAAAGCAAGTCTCTTTCTTTAAAATGCCAAAAATCGTTTGACAAAATATAATTAAACATGGCAACTAGATCTGTTGCAGAGGCAAGAAACTTTCATTAAATTTCGATGATATTTGCAGAGGCAAGAAACTTTCATTAAAACTCAATATTTTATAAAGTGAACAATTGATGCATGGGATCATTATGATGTCTATATTGGTGCCTGCTTAAATATGTAAAGTTTAACAACCCTAGGAATTACTTCTTCACACTTATGGTGTTTTACATATTTAGGATCCATCTGTTAGAAATATATCACTGAAATAGCCTTGCTCTTTAATTATACTGTGCGAAATTACTATAAAATTTGTTGTCAGAAGTGCATTATATGAAAAATTTGATTTGAGTACTTCAGAAGTTCAGAGTTTAAGCACAGAGTTTCGGTTAAAAGTTCATTTTTTCTTAATTTAATTAGAATTTTTTGTTTTAGCCTGAGAATTATGTGTCTTCATGGCAATAATTTCTATAGCATAACTGAATTTTATCCATTATTATTTTCTTATTCTATTTCATTTAAAAGTTCATGAAATCTTGCTTAATTTAAAAGTTTCTTTAAAGAGGTAGTAAAACCAAAACTATTGAAACAACATATTTTATTTAAGGTAAAATGAATAATATTAATGTAAATAATATTAATGCAATATTTATGTAAAACATACCAAAGCATGCTAAAGCCTCTACCAGTACACAGACAAACACTCTAAAAAATATCGCCTGTTTATCATTTTTTTAACTTTATGTTTTTCTTTCCATATTAACCATTTGAGGTACGGTGCATAAAAAAAATTGTTTGGGAAAAAATGATTTTACACGTAGATAATTAGCCCCCTAATACAATGTTATTTCATGCAAAAAAAGGTAAACCTTTAAGGTAATTCATGACGAGGTGGGATACCGCTTGTCCCACCGTGCATCTGGAGCAGTAAAATGGTATCTTTGCTTGAGCGTAAATTCTCCTAACATGCTTATCTAAAGTGCTAGCTTTAGCAAACCAAATGAAAATGCAAGATATAAAAAATATTTTTTCCAAAAAAAATTACATAATTTTAAAAAAATCACTCTCTGTACGACTTTTTAAATACAGTACAAAGTCCGTAATCCAGACTCGTTGGGACTTCGGCGATTCCGGATTATAGATCATCAATTTAAATCTGGTAAGATGGCATGCAGAAATTATAAAATTAAAAATATGAAACTGTAATTTATGAAATAAAGAGCAATTATGATCTAAAGGGTATCAAAATTTACAAAAAAAAAGCTTAATATATTAATAATAATATTTGTTTACTTTTATTAAACATTTCTTTCAATGTAAGTTGTTTAAGTTGCTTCGTTTTTTGTGCTAAACGTACATGTGTAAACTTTAAACGTGCATGTGTAACATTAAACGTGCATGCGTAAACGCATTACACACATGCATAAAGCATACAAGAAAAAAGTTCGGGGCTTTGAGGTCCGGATAATGGACGTCCAGATTACAGACTTAGTACTGTATTTTTTAATGATTTCATAATAGATTTGAAACAGAGAAGATTTTCTCTCCAGTACTGTATTTGCTGCAGATTTGAAAAGGAAGATATTTAGAAGGCTGTCATGTTTATTTACATTTCACCTCTCTTTACTCTGCTTAGGATATTTTTCTATGGTGAATCACACTCCCATATCCATTTAGTATTCAATGACATTTCATGTTAGAGTTATATTTTCATTTGTTTTGGAAAAAATACTAAATATTTTTCAAGTTTTAACATTATTGCAATTTATTTAAAAAAATTTGCATTTTCAATATATAAAATTAACATGATTCTTGAACTTAAAATATTTAAACTGTGCTGCCATCTAGTAGCAGCAATTCCTACATGTGTGGTGGGACATATTTGTCCCACCTTTTAATTTCACGTATTCTTAATTAATATATATGAATTCAAATAATAATTTTTATTAGAAAAGGAAACTTTCACATAAAAACAAAATTAGTTCTGACACCAAAAGTTGTTGTTCAGACGATTTAAATTACATTAGAAATTAAGAAAAAAAAAAAAACTGCTTCAAAATTAGACCTGCAAAGAATTTTTATTTTACATTATTTCCATGAATGAATACTAGTGTTGCCATGTGTTATACATTTAGAGAACTAAAAGGGATAATTGCATGTACTTTAAATGGAATTTTGCAGCTTTCATCTGGGAGATAAAAACTGATAAAAAAAAGGTGAGTGACCCACCACCCGTCAAAGGATTAAATCATAAGTCTACTGAAATACTCTCAAACTTCTTATGTTAAATGTGCAACTTTTTAAATGGAACTATATTAGCACTTGCAAATGTTGTACTTTTAATAGTATGTGTGTGTATGTATAGGTATAGTAGAAAGCAATTTGTGATCACCTGCCTAATAACACATAAAATAGCTGTCATTGTGTAAGGCATCTATTTAATGAAGTGACTATAACTATCCTAGTATGTTCAGCAATATTATCTCTACATCTGGTAATTTTCCATCCTCAATAGGGAATATAATAGATATGTATAAGTGAATTCGATTCATTAAAATATTCAGATGCCTGATAGAGTGTATTCTGCTGAAAAAATGAGCCTTAAAGTTTTGCAGGAAAATAATCATCCATTTCATCACATACCTTCCACTGGTCCGTATCTGTCAAAGAGTATATGTAAGTGCCAAAATAATAATTTGGTAATTAGTATACATGCACTTAATCATCTATTTGATACTTCAAGAATGAGGTATAATTAGCACTGGGACTCAACTAGATCTAAAGTATCCAGCTCTTAATGCAAAAGGATTCAATGAGCTGTTCGTTACAAAACATTATCCACTTTATCAGTGATGAAGCTGTGGATGATTTGCTGGACTATAGCCATGCTCTTTCTAAAAGTAATGTATTTACTTTTGACAGTCCATTTTGGTTCTTTACTGGACATCAGTGAGCTGTAGTTGATACTTAGCTGAATGATGTTTCTTCATTTGCTTCACTTCTTATGTATACTTTCACCATTTCTTACACATACAGTAAGACCCCGCTTAACGCTGTTTCGTTTAGCGCTGTTTCGGTTTAGCGCTCTTTTATTTCAACCCGGGGATTCCACGAAATCGCTCGCAGCATACAGGGATTCCCCTAAATATTATGCAGCGATAGGTTTCAAATACATATCCGAAAAGACTGTACTTGTATTTCTGTTTGGGTGCGGTATTGTACAGACATATTTTGAAGGGGTAAACGTGGAAGAGGTCGAAGAAATAATTCAAGAAGCAGCGGGCTAGTCTTTCTAATGATGAGCTCAAGGAATTAACTGAACAAGAAGAAAACAAAATGTTGACAGCAGTGATTCAGAAGAAGAGCAAAAAGAACTTTCGATGGCGTTTGAAAAAGGAGTTTGTCTACCATAACTGAAATAATGGATCAATTCATTGAAAATGATCCGAATTTTGACAGGAGCTCAAAAGTAAGGTGTGGTGTTAGAGATGCTCTATCCATTTATGAAGAATTTTAAGAGAAACAACGCAAAAAAAAAAGGGCAAACAGCATTAGATGCTTTTGTCATAAAAAGGCAGAACACTGAAAAACGTGGAAGGCTAACTAAATATGACTGACTGAGAATTTTTATTTGTTTTTTTTTTAAGAATATTCGTTTTATTATTATATTTGTTTTTATTTTTGCAAGAAATAATAATGTGGTATTAATTTGGGCTTTAAGAAACAAATTTTTGGTTTTATTTTATTAAAAAACATACTTTTTAAATTTATACTAACCAATTTCCTAGCCATCTTCCCCAACCCCAATATTTACATGTAAAGATAGCCTCGTTTAGCGCTGTTTCGCATTACGCTCTACTTTGATGGAACGTATCCCCCCGCGTTAAGCGGGGTCTTACTGTACTTTTTCAGTGGCTTGTGAATGCTAGTTTTTCCGTTTTAAAGTGCTTACAAGAAGCTGGGCTATCACAGCTTGTCTTTTATCAAACTCAAATATACCTGCAGCTTCTCCTAGTTTGTCTTTGAACAGGTTATTACCAAAAAGTATTTAATTAACAAAAGTTTTTTATTTTGAAATTATATATCTTGAATTATTACTCCATTCTGATATCCATTACACTGATTTGCTTATTATACGGAGACACAAGTTTTTGTATATTCTATCATACACAAGCCTAAACCTGAATGAAGAATAGTTGTATGCTGGAAACTCTTTATTGCTGGCAGTATGCTTTCCATTCAACAATACCTTAAATTCTAAGAAAGAGAATAAGCATTGGGAGCATGGTTGAATGTTCCCAAACAACCTTCAATTAAAATGTGTTTTGATTTATAACCATCAAAGCAGCCACTGTGTAACTCTAGCAATAACATATAGTGAAGCATTGTGGGGACTGGGTAATTTTTTATGGATGAAGCTTCACTGACACCAAAGCATTCTAGCAAATTGTAACTGCATTTCTCAAAGGACTGGCATGTAGAAGTGTATGAGAGCATATAAAAATGTGTTTACTGGTATGATAATAGCTTCAGTGCTATGTGTGCCTGTGTGGAATAGCCCGAGGTATATATTTTAAAAATAAAACAATTTGTCTTTCTTTTTTTATATATTATTATGATGATGATGATTATAATATTGTTGTTATTACTAAATGGATGCTACATTTCGCACCTTTTTGGTGTATGTACTAAACTGAGATTTTGGCGTGCTCAATTGTTCATTCTACAGGTGTGTTGATTCTCTTTAAGAACACTCATACTTCTCAATGTGTATGTATGCATTAAGGTTATATGAATATGTTTTATATACTTCTATTCTATATATGAGCATACAGTTATATGTGCATATGCATATCTACTGAATATATATGCATATATAAATATGCTTGCATATGCTTTGAATGATCAAAATATTAAACATGGCTTCTTAATTTTATGTCTGTCCATCTGTATTATGAATAAAAACCTACTATGCCTATAACTACATCAGATACTAAAGACTGAATGGTGAGCTGCAAATCATATTTGTTGTAGCAGCATCCAATTTTCCAGAATTTGTCCTAGATTCATAGAACTAATATTTTGCTGAGCTGCATTCTAGAGAGGTTCAATGGCATATTAGCTGCTGTGCTTAACTCTGGGCACCCAACACGCTGCTGGCTCAAATAAGTGTTCCTTAATCCTTAGAAAACTAAAGGCTTCGTTAATCTGTATGCTTAAAATACTGAAACGCCCATCCCTGTCCATTACCCAACTTCATTCCCTTCCCATCCATTAAACACATCTTTTCTACTTTCTAACAAAGAAGCTTCTGTTAGCCTTTTAGGACAAGCTGTCTGCAATAAACTGATACAATGCATTTGTGGAAACTGCACCTGCTACTGCATATCTTGGAGGGAAGAAAACATCATCACACTCTCATCTGTTTAGGGTGGTTGGTGGTTGTGTGAATGAAAGGTCATCTCAGGCATTTCAGCCTTCAAAGGGTTAAGCAATATTTGTTTGGTAATGGCTGAATAAAGTAGGGCTTTCTCACTCTTTTTGAAATATACCACTTCGTATTGATGAGCCAAGGATTATATAAATGATGGAGGAGTTATCATTATCTCTAACAGGTATAACTGAGAAGAAAGATTAATACTTCACTAATATCTTTCTGTCAGCCTACCACAACAGAAAACGAAATGAAATGCCCTGCTATTCATTGCTTCAGATTTCTTGTTCCCAATACCAGATAAAGTACCAATACCAATACCAGTTACCAGAAGTGCATTAAGTTTTCTGTAAATGTGTATGTAATATTGTCCATTCGCTGATATTTTTTTGGCATCCCAGTATGGTACCTGGATGCTCATTATTCTTTATTTATTTGTATTTTTTATTGTTTTCCCTGCAGGGGTGATGTACATCAGCTGTGGTCATAAGAGACTTCTTGCTAAGTGCTGGTGCAGTTACAGTTTATAAACATCACAAATACAGTGGTCCTTGAAAAATTTAATGTTATTTCCACTTCAAAACCTTGTCCTGATCTTCCCTAGAAATATCTTATAATTAAAGTTATGTACTTTTCTGTTTCGCCGGCGCAAATATTGCCAAGCAGAGTTTATTGGTGACAACATACAATATACACATAAAAAATGTTAACAAATGTTAGTTCTTAAGAATTTTTTATTTTGAAGGCATAAACATTTTAATATTATTTAAAATTTTGTAAAAAGCCAATAAATAAAGACAATAAATTTGTAAAAAGACATTAATTTAAGAATTTACTATGCTTTTATGGTTCAACATCCTGATTCACAGGTTCATATCACGTGACCCCAAGTCATCTCATCTCACGTAAACTACACTACAAAAATCTAATTCTCTCAATAATTATCTACATTAATTTCAAGCAAAATCTTAATTTGGAATGCAAGTTTAAATGAAAGAATTATTTCAATTCATACAAATAGCTTACTCAAGAATGATGTAAATCCACAGTGCTTTACTTCGCTAGTGCATTCTCATTAGAACTGATGAATTTAACCCTTGACTTTGCCTTTTTTATATTTTTGCCTTTGACTGAGCGGTGTGATTGCATCTTAATTGACTTAATTACCGTGAATGGCCTTAGGGCAAATTTACTATCTGGTAAAAATTCTATGTAATTGTATGCCACTATTGAAAGAAACAATTAATCTGATAAGAAATGGCTGTGACTTGTTTTGAAAAAGAGCCGTAAAAGCTTACCAGCAAGGATATTCCATTTGGCATCAGTTGTACCATTATTGGCGACTTTATCGCCTGCACCGGCAAAACAGAAAAGTACCAAAGTTACTTAAGTCCTTTCATTTATCATTTTCATGGCTTGAGATAGACTTACTGGAAGCTCAGATGTTTAAAGACAACTATGCATGTTTCCCGGTTTGAAGTCATTTTATGGGGAAAAGAAAGTCCTTGCATATATGTGTTTTTCTATGTATGAACTTGATATGTTTGAAGGTTTTTTTTATGAGAAAAACAAATAAATAGTCTAAATACTGCAGTTTAAGAATAAATCAAATATGAATGTTTTATGTGATAATTAAGGGATAAGAAATAAGATGGATATGGTTTTCAAAAGAGCATGTTAAAGAGGAAACATATTCTTATAATCAGAGGTGTGTGTGTGTGTTATTACATCATGATATCTGTTATTACATCATGATAGTCTCATATAAATTTCCAATTCTATAAAAAAAATAGCGAACCACTGAGCAGTAGAAACTCATAATGATGATTCAACATTTATTGTAAATATTATCCATTGTATAATTTGGTTTTTGCCCAATAGCAATTTAAGAGGAATTTATGATACAACTGCTATCTTAATCACACAGAGAAATCTAAGTTTGTCCATTCTTAGGAATGAATAAATCTTATTGTTTTTATGGTTTAGTTTTGTGTAACTTAATTTTACATTGTTTGATTATAGATGAATTAGTAAATCATTTTGTAATGTACTAAATCTTATCATTTGTTAATATTTTAGCTCTATTTAAGTTAGTATGCACCAGACAATCCACTATGCTTCTGAGTAAAGTGAATAAAATTCTAAATGATATTTATCTGTTTTTAACTCTTGTTGAAGAGCTTTGCTCCACATAAAGAATACATCTGGACCTATTTAATGTAAAGAACATGGCTAAAACAAATGCTGAGAAGCAACGGGAATATAGAGAACGCAAGAAAGCTAATAAACCTCCTAAGCCACCACCAAAATCAAGCAAAGAACGTGTGCGTCTGTATAGAGAACGTAAGAAGCTAGCAAAAGTGAATCAAGAACTTCAGCAATTACAGCAGCAAAATTTGCATAATGATCCAACAGCAGGCACTTCGCGTGATGAAGATAACTTGATATACATTGAAGCTGATCAGGTTAGTGTGATTTTGGAAGAAGCTGTTGATACTGTGGGCTGTGATGATCATAGTGATAATATTAGCATATTACCACTCTAGATTTCAATGTTCCTATGATTAACCCTTTGTGGTTGTATTAAGTTTATACACAGTTTATATCAGGTTTATACACAGGTAATTTTTGGTGAACAAGCAGCTATATATAATATGCAAGTTTATGAAGCTTGTCAACTTAATATAAGATCAGTACAGCTCTTTACTGTGGTGGCTGAGAGCAAGACATACGACTGGAATGGTAAAACAGCTTTATGGCTAAGTGTAGACATACGACCGCAAAGGGTTAAAAAGAATTATTATGAGCCCTGTCTTCTGGAAACACTAAGATAGTCTGTATGTACAAGTTTGTATATCATATAATTATAGCTATAGTAATTTTATTCTATCTGTTTACTTGATATTGTTGCAATAAATATACAGTCAAAAGTCGTTAATTCGGACACCCATAATCCGGAATGATCTATAATCCGGACCTCAAAGCTAAAATCTTTGTGCGCATGCGCCGCGGTGGCACATGCGCACAGGCGTTTTACGCGAGCGCGTAAGACCTTGACTACTGCGCATATGCGTGTGCGCAACTGCAGAATACGTTTTCGCCTACGCGTTTAATGTATAACGGACGGTGTAAGCTAAAATTATCTAATTATCTATTTCAGTTAATGTTAATGATTGCATTGTTCCTTAATCTTCGAATTGGATCCCGCTTATTATTTTTAGCAGACTGTAAGAGCAGTTTTATAAAAGTAAACTTGAACTTTCGATTATGTCAAATAGAATTTCCGATGTTGGAACTTCCAAAGGATCTACAAAACGAAAGTATGTTTCGATGTCCAACAAACAAAAATTGGAATTGCTGCAAAAAATGGATTAAGACATGAAGAATGTGACAGAGAGGTTAGTGAAAACGAAAAAATTTCGATTGACAAGTTAGTCGGTATTCTCGGCACAGCAATTAACGGGACTTGAACAGCGGAACTTTGTAACTGAACAAGAAATTATGTCTTTTTATAGAATTAAAGAGAAAGTATTATCACATAAAATGAAGCAACTTAAACAACTTACATTGAGAGAAATGTTTAATAAAGTAAACAAATAAATATTAAGCTTTTTTTTTTGTAAATTTTGATACCCTATAGATCATAATTGTTCTTTATTTCATAAATTACGGTTTCATGTTTTTAATTTTAGAATTTCTGCATGCCATCTTACGAGATTTAAACTGATGATCTATAATCCGGAAAAATCGATAATCCGGAATCGCCGAAGTCCCGACGAGTCCGGATTAACGACTTTTGACTGTATATATGTATGTATGTATTTGAATTGGATGTTTTACTTTAAAACCCCAAAAATCTTAACATACAAAAGCTTCATTACTTAATTACTTACAGAGAATATTAGGATATTCTCTTTCTCTTCATAATTAATGACTGAGAATAATGCTAAAAAAATGCTTTATAATAGGAATACACTCTACCCTTTTGATGTACAAATTCAAATTTTCAAAAAATTGCAATTTTTTTCCCTTTCTTTTTCCAGTACACATTTCCCAGATTGGATTGCTTAGAAAGTATATACAATGGCATTCAAGCATCATTGTTTTTGAATCAGACAGAAAGCAGTTCCTGAAGATTTGATGTTGTATTAATTGTTTACTTTTATTCAACACTATTATTATTATATACTTACCTTTTTTTCTTTTGCATTTTTCTTTGAAATACCTATAATTATCATCATTATTGCCTGCATCATTTATTCTCATATGATGCAAAGTTTTTATTATCTGTTTTTTAAATGTTAATGCATAATATGATGGTAATGCTGGGTGGAATTTTCTAATTCAAACAAGATTAAATCATGAACATAATATGAAGATTGATGATTTATGTTTTCCCAATTTTTTACATTTAACCACTCTAGATTACTATTACTAGATATTATTCATGTAGAAATTGAAAAAAAATCTCCCATTTGTACGTTATTAATATAGTAACAGTAATTTAACTGTAAATAACTTGTTAAAACTAAAACAAATATTTGTTATATTACAGATTGCTTGACATGTTTGTTTGTTTAATAAGAATTGTGTTAATTGTTATTAATTGAATTTGTGTTCATTTAACTGTGTTTATGTTGAAATAAAAATTATGACAGAGCAGTGGTTTGCCCTTTCCTCTTCTGTTTATTGTCTTTTATTTTTTTGATTGAAGCTTTTCTTTTTTTTACCATCTTTTAAACCTAAAATATATTTTCAGTGAACATTTTGTAAACTTTGTATTAAATTATAGTAAAATATTCTAGAATAAGGATTGTTCCTGATTCTACAGAGTAGCAGAAATTATTTTTCAAAATTGTTCTGAATTATAATTGATTAAAATTGGTTTCTTGAAAAGACTTAATTGCTTTTCTGTACCTTAAGCTCACAAATTATGAGTACAATAGGTTTTCAGATCTGTAAAATTTTTTCCATAATTTTTATGACCTGGTTAAGAAAAAATCTGATTGTACACCACATGACTTCCTTGTATTGGAATATTAAATTATACGCATTTTTTCTTGCATTTCATTTAAACTTATTGGATTGAATTAAATCTACTTCGCCGACAGCGCATAAACCACAATAGAATAAATGCATTCTTTAAAATTCACTCTAGTATTTGTTTACCATAGCGACACTCTGGCGCTAGATTCACTTAACAGTATTATGATAACTGGATGATAAAAACAACATAATTCAATCATTTTTAAAGCAAAAAATGTACAATTTACCAACATATAAGAGTAATTTTATAAATAATATTTTTATCATATCAAAAATATTTTTAGATCACTGAGCCGGGTAACAAAGTGGATATATATATAAATATATTTATATACGTTTGGTGCGGCAGATTGCAACCAAAATACGAGGTGCACATCTACATGTTATAGCAGTCCTATATACAAAATTTCAACGTTCTGAGGCTACTCGTTTTTGAGTTATGCGAGATACGTACGTACGCACGAACGTACATACGTTCGTACAGACGCCACAAAAATTTCTCTTCAGAATTAATTTTAAAGCAGTTTTATAATTTTTTTTGAAGGAAAAGAGTACTTTATTCTGTCCTTACGTACAGATATCATGCAAAAACATCGTTAAATTGCATTCGATAGCAGTCAAAATGGACATTTTCGTTGAAATATGCTGCCTGAAACTTTTCACGATTACAATACTTCCTTTTTACTTCGCACAAGGAAGTAAAAAGCACGTAGCAAGCTTCAAGGGAATGTATATGCATGTTATTTACAATGTGTTGCTTATGCATAATTATTAATTATCATTTATTCCATCACATATAAATAATATTCCGATGTTCTCTTAGTGGCCATTATTTAGAACAGCACTGAAACACTAAATTAAGACTATCTGAATCTTCTTAATGCCATCAGAATATGTGTATTTCAGGTTAGAAAATAACAACTATGTAGAGCGACAAATACAGCTTATAAAAAGGATGATATTGTGTAGGGGATTTCTTGTGCAGAATAATCACGTACAAAAAATTGATGAACTGCAAAATTTAATTTTATCTCCATTTGACATTTTGCGTATTCAAATATAAGTAATTAACCCAAGGTTTAGTTTACATAATACAGTTTGCAGTTCCTTAACTGTACTGTTATGGATAGATAACCACATATCCTAGTTACAAAAATATTTATTCTTTTATATATATCCCCAAGTACCCTCTTACTATATTAAAATCACAATAAACATAGAAATAAAAACATTATCCTACTCTTATAACTAAACTCCTGAATAAATATTTTCATTTTAACACTTAGTTTACATTATCATTATTTTAACCTAATCTAGAGACAAAACTCTTGAACATATATTTATATTCCAAAAATTAAAATTTACAATATTTATTCTACCACTAAGATAAGATGAATGGTACTTACGACTGCAGACTTCAGAAATCCATTAATTAAACAAAATTACATGGAGCCGAAGGATAACACGCAAAGGATTTGGTTGCAGTCAGTTAGTGTAACACTCATTCATTTCTTAAATGTCTGTAAAACTGAAACACTTCATCTGAGTAGGACAGGAATCTCTATGGCTCAGTTTAAACACCTATATAAATAAAACACATCATTAGAATAGGGTAGGAACCTTTATCACTCAGTCCTTTCATAAACGTCGGGGAACTGGAACACTTCATCTGTATATTGCAGGAACCTTTATCACCTGTTTTCTTAAATGACTGTAAAATGGGGAGCATTTCATCTTAAATTTCTATAAAATTGAGATAGTTCATCACCACAGACAGGAGCCCTTATCGATCAGTTAAATCCAAGTCATCTCCCACAAATTATATTTCTATTACAAAAACTACAAACACTTCCACTAGTCATCACCAGCTGTTTCGGTTATATCAGAGTTAGTTCTTTTCCTAACTCATAGCAAATGGATGGAAGCTCAACCCCTCCCTCCCCCAAAAAAGCCTCCCTTTTTTTGACAAAACATTGTTATTTAACCCCCGACTTAATTATTTAATTAATTTATTAAATGACATCCCCTGACACAACCATGTCTCACTTGAACTTAATTGGCCAATTGCAACCATGTAGCAATTAAAATTAGGCATCACGTATATTTTCTATGTCACCTTAAGAAAGACGAGTGGGGTGTTTTTTTGTTCTCATTTACTATGGGGAATTCTCCAGAATACATCATGTCCTGATAAAATGTCTCTTATGAAAATAATACGTTTATCTTCTCTCCTGTTTGCATCATAGTTCAAGTAACAATTAAACAATAAATGGCACCAATGCTCCAAGTCAAGCATTTTTTACAAACCTGCCACTTTCATTTACCTCTTACAATGAAATAAATTTTAACCCTCCCTATTTGGACAAAGAAGTCCTGTTTTAAATGCACATTCGCTCTTTAGGTACACCCCGTGTGACCCACACTTCATTATCAAGGAAAGCATTCTCTCTGTCACTGCAGCATACATAGAAAGCCAAAAAAAAAAAAAAAAAAAATCATTTATTCGCAATATAATTGTTTAGTTTTTACTGGCGCCTACCAATCAACCTCCATTTTATCGTCATTTCCTGTCAAGGAATCCACAATTAAGAAATAACTTTGAAACCAGAATCTACGTAATAACACACTCCTTGACTAGGGGGAATTCTCCTCATTCTTTACACAGCAAACAACCAAGTACAACATTTCCTTGAACAGGAAACATTCATTCGCAGTCATTTATTAGTTGCATGATAAATTATTTTGCAGAAGTGGCCATGTGCTTTTTTATTTATAATTGAAGGCTAAAACTATAAAATATCAATCAGAAATATTTAAAATCTTTATGTAGAATTTCAAGAACAAATTCTTTTTAAAATTATTTTTGGGATCAGTGGATAATGAGCAACGTTTCAGTCAGGGTCCTGCAAGTGTACTGTGTAAAGAAAAATTTGAGCAAAACCAAATTTTGTCTCTTTCTTCATAGCTCTAGGAAAAACCAGGGAAGCACTTCCGCAGAGAACCCGGTAAATGTAAACATCGCCAACTTTGGCGATAACAGTTCAAACCTGGTAACCCAGCGGATTATCGTTTCGCTGTTCAAGTTGCAACCATTCCTCTGCGTTCATTTTGTTGAATTATCACTGTCGTTGCTCGCATTCAGATTATATTATTATTTTATTTATTATTATTTTTTCTGATTTTTTAACGAACAGATAGAAATATTTTCGTAGATAGAGCCGGTTCTCGGCTCGGGATGAAGGAAGAAATACGGCGAGAGGGTGAATGCTAATTTGTAACACGGTGTTCACGTAGTGTTCTTAATTATTAACAGCTCTGAGAACCATGAGGTCCAACTCTATATTGGTATTATCATCTAAAATTTGAAAATAAATCAATTTTATGGCGTAAAATTTAACAATATTGTTAATGCTTTCTAACAACACCTTTCAGAGGATGGCAGGTGTAACAAATAGATGATTAAATTGAAATAAAAATATATTGATTATCTAAGATGACAGATAGTTTGATGCATCAGCATGGTCATCAAAATTAGCAAACCACTGCTGTTGTAAGGAATATATTGTTTTCTGTGTTAAATGGAAAAGAAAGTTTTTTCGCTTATCACGTTTAACCGGGTAATTCAGTACATTAATAATAATTTATTTTTAAATGAATTTTATTTCCGTTATAAATGCTTATATATCTTAAATATTCTTTCTAGCTAACTTAAATTTAATACAATTTATTTTCGTAATCACGTTTAACTGGTTAGTTTTACATTACATGCTTATTATCGTGATTTTACTACCATATGCAATATATTGTTTTTGTCTGCTAACTTGAATTACATGCACTAAAAACCACGTTTACAAATATCACGTTTACGGCTCGGCTCATCATCGATGAACCGCGAGCTTGGCGAGTAAAAATGCAACGGCGCCAACAGGTTCTTTCCCGAAGCGCCAACAGGTTCTCTGCGGATGAAAACCCAAAACCAGGATTTGTTGTAAAAAAAAAAAAAAAAAAACTCTTTGCAATGTTATACTTAGTTTTATGGGAACAGTCAAAATACAATCCACCCATCTGTATTAGACATCTGGTTAGGAGCATGCCAGAAAAGTTGAATTCCTATTTTAGAAGAGAAATAAATTTTTCTGAGATTTCACTTTCTGTGTTAACATGCATATTCTTTTGTATTTACTCCAGATGCGCTGAGGCTTTGTTTTAATGTGTGTCTTGTTTTCGATTGCCATTGCACCACATTTTAAAAACTGATTTTAAAAATCTAAATATAAAACAAATCAACACATCCTGGTGAAAGTGATTTCTTTCTGTAAATAGATTAAGTTTTTTTGCTGTTATGCTGAAGCATTTTGGTCTTCAACTTAAGGAGGTTTGACAATAAGACATTTGATTTATTTAGACAGTGCATCTAAATGCGTAAAAGCAACTTTATTCAATGAGAGGAGATCAGACTGAAACTTACTGATATACAGTGGTGGCCAAAATTGTGGACACTTTTGGAAATTTTTATGTTTTTGAAATTTGTATGCTTATAGAAAACGTTACGTTTCACAAAATGCAAACTTGTATATATCATTTTAAAGAGAATTTATTACTGAATTCAATACAAAACACAAAATTCAATTATTTGCAATACAAAAAAAGTTAAGCGATAATAGTTATCGATATACATTAGATAGTGATGATTGCAGTGAGTTATCAGTACTTAGTAGGGTACCCTTTATTTTTTATTACAGCTTCACATCGACGTTTCATTGAGCTGACAAGAGTTTTAATCTCTTCTTTCGTTATTACATGATGCCAGGAAACAATTATAGACTCAATTAGTTCCCTTTTATTTGATGGGCACCTCATTCGGACAAGAGTTTTCAAAACGGTGCCACAAATTTTCGATAGGATTGAGGTCAGAACTGTTTTCTGGCCATGACAACAATTTAATGCTCTTTGTACGAAACCACTCTTTCGATATTTCGGCCGTGTGGCAAGGAGCAGAATCCTGCTGAAAAATAAACGAAGCATTGTTGGGAAAGAGATCTCTGATGGAAGGTAGAAGTTTTGGTTCTAGAATAGTGTCAATGTATTTTCTGGCATTCAGGGTCCCATCGATGACATGAAGGCGACCAATACCGTCTGCTGACATGCATGTCCAAATCATAACACTAACTGGGTTATTCACAGTTGCTTGAATGCAGTCAAGATGTAGCTCTTCTACTATTCTACGTCTTACATATTTTCACCCATCACTACCGAATAACGATATCTTAGTTTCATCACTCTATATAACTTGTAACCACTGATCATCTGTCCAATTATGTGTTCCTTTGGCCCACTGTAGTCTTTTTTTTTTTTTTTTTTTTTTTTTTCGTTGCTGAAAATTAAGATAAGGCTTTTTCGTGGAATTCTACCTCTCAGTCAACATCTGTTATCTTCTCCTGATTGTTCTTGAACTGACAGAAACACCAGCATCATTCAGATCACTTCTGATGGCCGCTGATGACATTTTTCTATCTTGGAGACATAGTCTTTTTATTCTTCTGTCATCAATAGATGTGGTGCACCTTTTTCGGCCTTTTTCTTCTTTGTTTTTTATTAAATTTGTCTCCTGATATCGTAAACAAAATTTTCGGACTCCAGATGTAGTCACTGAACCACCCACCTGTCTTGCAATTTCAGCACAGGAAAGACGACTTCTCGTAACACAATAATATTACATCTCTTTCTAGGTGTCCAATCTACTCTTTCATTTGATGTCATTGCTTTTTGACTAAATATTAAAAATTTTTACAAAAATTCCTACTTGTAATTTCAGTGTATAAGAAACAGGTCCTCCTTCTACAGAACAAAGCAAAAAATTCAAAAACATAAAAATTTCCAAAAGTGTCCACAATTTTGGCCACTACTGTATATGTATTAAAATAAAATTTGATATTTTTTAAAATTAATCCTTTGTGCAATTTAAGCACTGAGAATTTGTGTATTTGTTAACCATCAACACAGTTTTCTTAAATTATCTGAACCGTTTGAAAATGTTTGAAGTGGCCAGAGTGTGTACAAGTAAAACTTAGACAACTTGTATCTTTGTAGGTTATTATTACAGTCTTCTTAAACATTTTAAAACTGTCTGAATGTTTACAATGGCTTGAATATCATACTGTAATCTTTCAGGATTTCATCCTAATTTACAGCAGAACTTGATACTCCCTCCCTGAATCTTTTAATTTTTGATGCTGCTTTCTTAAATGTGGGTGCTTCTGCCAGTATAAATCTTTACAGGAAGTCTGCTTCATTTTTAAATTCATTTAGAAGAGGAGAAAAAAAAGCACCATTTTACATGATTTATTATTCATTTACAACTAATACAATTTGCTCTTGAGTTAAAACATTAGCCTTTGAAATTATGGGATATGCTGTATAGAGCTATGCCCATCTGTGTCTGGAAAACTGAGATACATTACGAAGGGAAAATAAATGAATGTTTGTTTTATTGTGTCATTCTAAATTATCAGCTCTTAAAATTATAAATTAGAAATGAAATATTTTTTATATTGAAGTTGATATCTAGTAGAATAATACCA